GCTATCTGACTATCATGTGTTGTGTACTTGACTTACAGTCCAAGTTTGACATTGACCATTTGTTTTGATGGAGAAGCTAAACCTCTCACAGGAGAGCAACAAAGAACTATATTCTATACATTTCATTAATAAGAAAGAGTTCAAGACCTGGTCTGGAAGGAAACTAGTAGAATTCAATCAATGAGAAGGACAAAGTATCTAATCTCTACTGATTGATTGGAAATTGAACTACATTCAGAAGACACTAACAATTTATCCAAACCTTCGAATATAGTGTTGATCATATTATGGTCAGCCATTGGAAAGTTTCATTTGAAGATGCTTGATAAATTCAGACTTTGACCAAGTAGAACTGAGCTAAAATCAATTAGTAGTCCTTAAAGTGGTCAATTGGAATTTAAAGGACAGTGATATTGTATGTAACTTTACTTATTTGCTAAAACAACTATCTAAGTGACTGTATCCTTAGCTCCTAAACAATGTTATCTACTACTAATAAAAAGCAAAAGAATTTCAGATTCAAAAAGAACTTAAGATATTTTACAAAAAAGCCCTTCATTTTTAGGTCCATTACTGGAATTATTAACAGCAATATTCATTCATATTAGCCTGAAATCTGAACACCTGTTAATGCAAGAAAAACACCTGAAAGTTTAAACAAAAAAACACCTGGTAAGTATATTGGTATCTGTATGATGATATTATATTTTACTGTAGCGAATATTTTAACTTGGTTCAACTTACCAGTGGTGAAGGTGATGTTAGTAATTTACCAAACGACATTTCACCTGGTTTGGAAGTTATTCGTCGTATATTTCCGGGTGACGGAGTAGAAGGAGAACTACTACCACTATTATTCTGACTTTCAGCCATTCTGTTAGATATTTCACTCTCACAGACAAACTTACTAATTAATTCACAGGGTCATGAAAGTACTATTAACTAAAAAAGTGTTTCCTGTACAAGGTTAAGTGGAACACCATAAAATGACACATTTATATCAAAACATCACTTGTTTTTCCACAACACATCCAAATCATGTATATTTCGATATTCAACAGTGGTATTATTTGCAGCGCTTAACATAAATCTTGATTTTTATCCAAATATGTTTCAAAACAAAATGTTAAATGCGTAGATTTTCAAAATGATAAGTTGAGATAAAGCTCAAGAATTTTCACAACTCTTAAATGAGAGATTCATTCATCGAAGCCAGCTGTCTTTTTTGTGCTGGAGAAGGAAAATAAAAACTGTAAGGTTAAAAAATGCACAAATAAAAGATTATTCAAGTATCAACACAATAGCCTTTGATGTGTGTAATATTTGTCAAGTGATGAAACATAAAAGAAAGTAAGGTCACAGAATCCTTTTATCCTGAGCTTATTGACTAGTTACAAGTCTACAGTTGTCTAAAAACATCTCACAACAAAATGTCATACATCCAAATTAACATCCATCAAAAATCAGATACCAGAATAAACCATTTATCTTCATAGAAACCACATTCACAGTTCTATTGTCTAGTCGAACTCACCAACATGCAATGTGTTGTCAAGATGATTATATTTGAGTAGATATATTTATAAGTGGAAAAGGAAAATCTTCACATATTTGGTCGGAACTGATAACATTTTATGGTATCCTATATAAATTATGACCTATAATCACTTATGATTTATACAATAGATATTCACTATTTCACAACTGGTTTTCTTCAGACAGCCAGCACACTGATAGCAGACGGCTTTCTTCACTCTCGTTCTCTTGTCTAATGATATGTTTAGTCAGTAGATTACAGTCTGACTGGCAAGAGTTACCATGAAAGAGTAGAGAGGGGAGGGACACTAGTACTCATTTTAATAATATAAGAAGATACTTCATAAAAAGCTGTTTATTAAAATTTATGTGTAAACTTATCATTATTATTATGACAAGCTTATGAAGAATGGACAGAGAACATGGCATGGGAAAAGGGGTCAATTCAAAATAACCACATGTAGTTCATCCTTTGCAGAATCTTTCCCAAAAAAATCAATACACACTGTCTGACATAAAATGACCTAAAATTACAGTTATCTCTAAAATGGTAATGGAATAGAACCCTTTATGTGAAATTTTGAATTGTTAGAAATAAGCGGTTAAGCTCAATAAATGCCCTTTTATTAAAAGAATGCATGAAATGAAATTCCTTTTTAAATATGGTCTCTTTCTATTGTAAATTTGTAAGCAGCAGTTAAACTAAACAAAAAACAAAGCAAGAACAATACATAATGTAGGCCTTGAAATAAAACAAAACAATGGAACAATGACAATTGACAATAACCATGCACTGGGAGGACATAAGAATTAAAGGAGAAAATACCAAATATTTGTTATAAGACCGGACAGAGGTTAAAAGTCAACTTACACTACTGACCTACATCAAGGACAATAACTCATGATAATAATAATCAATTTTAACTTCTGCAATTACATTGTTTAATGAAAGGGACATAACCACAAAATTACATGATAACTATTTGACACCTGCAAACCTGTGTAAAGAAATTCAGAACAAATTGTATTGGAAACACTTCTTGTACCATTTCAATTTACCATACCCTTTTGCAAGCAACCTTTGGGAATAATGACATCAAAATCTGCTGTTTCAAGTTTTTCTTGAATTATCGGTGCCAATATCACACACATCAGACCAGAAATCAGAGCCGTGCAAATATAAGTTTCATTTATTCCTGATGCACACAAAAATTATGTTTTTATTCCCTTAAAAATAAACTGTTAATTATACTGAATGAGTAATTGAGACCTGAAATATAATCATCTACACTAACAACTCACACAGTAAAACTCAAAAATAAACCCATGACTTCACAGATAGAAAGGCATTCAACTAATAAAGGACTTAAATGCTAAGATTCATGTTAATGTTGGCAACTTTACTATGTGCCAGTTCTGTCTGATAGGAATTTCCAAACGCCAAATAACAAATTTATGACCAAATCATATCTGTTTTTTGAAGAATGTTACCTTCAAGATGACAAAATACCTACATGTAGTAAATTGACTGGCTGTGAATAAAGGCAAGATGAGTAACTCAAATGATATAAAAGTAAATACATTTTCCCAATAAAAGGCAGATTTGTTACCAAAATAAAGTCAAAAAGATGTTTTTATAATCCTAATTATGGACCTTTGATTTTTCTTATAAGATTCAATGGAAGCCATCCCATCTTTCAAAATTAGCTATGATAAATTGGCACAAGACTGAAAACAAATGTGAGATATCAATTATTACATGATGCTAAATCATGTAGTGCAAAAACATTCTGGTTCTTCAAAAGTCATCAAATTGGAATGAAATATGTCGTTTTCCCTCCCATCCCTTTTATGGGATTGTGATAGATCATTTTTAACTAAGAGTAGGGTAGTTAATGAGATCTAATTTATATCAGTTTCAAAAATACAATCTTTCAAGTAATTGATAGGAATAACTAAATTCAAACCCATGTAATAAAAACTCTTGACCTAAGGCACAAGATTATCAGAAACATTTATTATGATATTTAATACCGGTACTGAAGAAGACTAATTGTACCTAATTGCTAGTATATTTGTCGACCATTACACTATTGTGCATTAGTAGACATGAAATAAGTTTAGTTTAATTCTATTTTCTTGACACAAAACTATATCTGGACTGAAACCAACCAACAATGGCACCAAATTCAAGTTAAAAAATCAGACAGTGCCAGCGCTCCATGTGTCTGGTTGACTGTACAAGTTTTTCAAGTAGTGTGCCCCATGGGAATGTTTAGCCCAACCCATCAATAATGGATATATTTGGGTTATCATTAGTCATAACACTTGACTTTCAAATATTGGGTCGTTCAATTCAATACAAAAAGAAACCAAATGAGTAAATGATTTGGATTGATTGATAGCAATTGATAAGTAAAATATTACTCACTTGTCTCGAGTCTGTGTCGATAGATCGAGGGAAATATGAAAAAGAAAGATAAAGCAAAAATTAGATACGATTTTGAATGTATGAATGCAGTAGAGTGAAATTTTGAATTACATTATTATGATTAATAATTCTTTTAAGAAAAAATAATAACAACACACCCGCCATGTTTAATGTTATGAGCTCAACGCGCCAATCACTGTCACTTCCTTTCACTAATTAAATAGATTTACCTCCCTTCAATACTAATAATTTGAAGCTACAGACTACAACTATCTGGTTGACTGTAAAGCAACGATACCGATGGTCGAAGATAATATTCTATTTTTTAGTCTTCAGAGCTAGTATAACTGGACGAAAATTGTATTATCCCTTCAAATATTCACATATTCTTCAAGCTATAAATTTCATTTTCTTTTTCTATCATAATAATATGTCATATCTTTATAATATATCATGGCAGAGTATCAAGAATACTAATATTAAAGACTGTTCCTGTAAAATTTACGGTATTTTACATTGAATGCTTATTATTTCGCTGACTTTTTTCCAGAGATCTGCAGCACACTAGAGGAAAAATGACAAAGATTGATTTCTCTCTTACTGTACAAAATTGATAGTCTAGGCTAGACCTATCATTTAAATTTGAATGACATGTTACATTTTCATTAGGTAAAACATTCACATTTCTCGGATAAAAAAATCGCAACACTTCGTAACGTGTCATATATTAAACGTTAAACGATCAACTGATGTGGGCCTAGCACAACAAGGGTTAATATAAATAGCCTAATTCAATATAGGCTTAGTAGAACCTAATATTATGCTATACAATTTAAATTCGGGTGTGGTTGTATTTCATTAAATCAGTATTTTAAATAGGACACTATAAATCGGTTTATCCTACGGACAAGAAAATTAGAGACTTCACTTTTTGCAGGTGTGACAAGATTTATCATGTTAAAAGGGTTAATGTAATTGCACCATAGCAACTAGGCTACAAGGCGGAAGTACTTCCCATAATGCAATATATTTAATGGTGGATTTGTGTTGAGAAAAAATAGACCTAAAACAAAGTAAGCTATTTATTTATAGAGCATTAGCAAGCATTCATTTATCTCGGACATTTGAATATTATATATCCATCCGATTGAAAAGGTTTGTTTTACTTAACTTGTTTATGAAATATAGGGTAAACTTTTCACGTTTTAGAAGGGAGAACTTAGAAGTGAGAGAGAAGAATTAGAAAGGAAAAAGAAAACCAAGTAACAAGAGTTCACCTGTCAAGTTGCTACACATCTAGGAATACGCTTTATTAGACCTCAACATGCCTCCTATAAGTACAAATGATGCCATTGATATATAAATGATGCCATTGATATTGTATGGTTTTATATGACTGATCTGATGATTATCTAATACTAATAATTGCCTATTAATTCAGTCACATATTGAAATAATGATATTGTTAATTTTTACTAGATCTACAAGCCTATTGCCTTGAAAGTTGAATATTTCTAAGCTTAGTTTTATTTAAACATAATTCTATTTTTCTTGTATTACTTGATAAAATGTTTTATAAACCATTTTTGGCACTTGACTGTGATGAGCAATTAGTTTCTTAAAGTCTCAATAAGCACGTAGTAAAAGGTAAAAGTTAACGATTAGCCTAGTTGCAATAATTAGAGTTAGTGAATAAAGTAAATGAACTGATACCTATAATGTTATTTTTTTCAGATGCCGTGTATAAAGCTACAGAGCTCTGATGGAGAAATATTTGAGGTGGATGTGGAGATTGCCAAACAGTCAGTTACTATTAAAACTATGTTAGAAGGTAAGGTTCAAGGTATTAATTGGATAGACAGACAAAAGCCCCTACAGACAAAACCCCCTATTACCTAGGATTGCAGCTACTAACTGGCTCAATTGGATAACTGTCACATGAATATTTCATTTTTTGAATGGAAATTTTATGATTTGATCATCATAAAAAGTGTTTGTTTTAATCTAGTCTCAATTTTTTTAATTACTAACGATATAAGCTTATATTCCTATACCAGTATAAATCGTGACACCAATAGTTTGTTGTATTTGTTAAAAGAAAATTTTTTGTTTGTCATTTATGTCAAACTGATAATTATGACTTATATGTTTGGCTGGAATTCAGCCAAACAAATAAGCTTAATAGATTTAAAGCATTTAAATCCCCAAGATTCTGACCTTGTGGTTAGGTTACATGAAATAATTGTACGAAAGGAATGATTATGATAATTATCAATTCAAGATCTTGGCATGGATGAAGATGAAGAAGAACCTGTACCATTACCCAATGTTAATGCTGCCATATTAAAGAAAGTGATACAGTGGTGTACCTACCATAAAGATGACCCCCCACCACCAGAAGATGATGAAAACAAGGAGAAGAGAACTGATGATATTTGCTCCTGGGATGCTGAATTTCTCAAAGTTGATCAGGGAACCCTTTTTGAACTCATCTTAGTAAGTAGAATTATTGGGTGTATGACATATTCTTTCGTGGCAAAGGAAAGTTTGTCTTCTAGTTACCATAGTAGTAGAACTAGTAGTAGAACTATTACTAACTAACTTAATTTACCAACAAGAAATGCCACCATCTTGTAAGGGGAGATAACATATATTATGTTTTTGTGGTCTGGTGGTAGGTTGCTTGAGAAATCTCTTGTTGGAGTTGCGTCATAACTGTCGCTGGAATTGCATATACCACAGGCCTTGGACAAAGAATTGGAATGCCCCAAATAGAGGTCAAAGGTGTCCACGAGACACATAATAAAGTTAAAAAACCTCTTTACAATCTCTATATGAAAACTAAATTCCTTTTGCTATGAACAACTTACTTTCATAACTGTTATGTGATGAGTTTATTGAACCAGGCAGCCAGTTGTGGTATTGGCATGATCTCTGTGACCTTTTGACCTAAGCTGATAATATGGTTATTACGAATATGACACTATCCTATGACATAATGATATAAATCAAATACTGTATTGATTTATCTTGATTTGTAGGCTGCCAACTATTTGGATATTAAAGGTCTGTTAGATGTTACCTGTAAAACTGTAGCCAATATGATCAAAGGCAAATCACCTGAAGAAATTCGTAAAACCTTTAACATCAAAAATGATTTCACACCAGCTGAAGAAGAACAGGTAAAAAAAAATTGATTTAAGACTATTTTCTAGCTCTCGTCATGTCATGGGCTTTTACTATAAAAGATTTAAAATGTCAGTATGATATTATTCTATAAACAGTCACTGTTTGGTTTAATATAACTTTTCGATATGGGTCAATGATTTGTTTGTGTCTTGCTGTTGGTTGGTGGGCTTTGTCATCAATGTTAATTGAAAGGTTGCATGTACATTTCTTAATAAAATTATAATAAGTACCCAAATGTATATCACAAAATTGAAATTCTATCATAGAAAGAATGTGTCGTGACCAAGTATGATCAGTATTACGTACAACTTGTTTTGTTGATGTAATAGTTGATGCTATTGTGATGTCGGAATGATGTCTTGAAGTTGTTCAAACTGTTCTTGTATTTAATTTCATATCCATGTTTAAAACTTGATTAAATTTCTATTTCAGGTGAGAAAGGAAAATGAATGGTGTGAAGAAAAGTGAACATAATTGAATTTTTTAAATGTTTCAAAATGACTAATATTTTTTGCTGAAAATGGCAAATTGTATCTCTTCTGACATTTAATTTATTGTTTCTGTAGCTCTTAAAATTATAAGCAGATGTTTATCATCAATTCAAACATTTATCTTTAGATCAGTTTCAAGCCTTGATAATTCAGTAGTCAAGTTGGAATCTTTTTGATTTTAGAATTTTAAAAACATAGCTTATGTTCTTTGTAATGTGTAAATATTTATGTGTGTCAGAATTAAAATGTTAATTGGAGCTGTCAGTTTTTTTTAAATGGTACATGAAAGTTCCTTTAGTCTTTTACTCAGTAACAGTAACCTTGCCATTAATACAGTTAGTTCTACCTACAGTGGTCAGCAGTTGCTGTCTTGCAATGATATTTGTGCACTTAAGGGATCAATTTGAATACAGACATGGGCAGTTACTTTTGTTTTTAGCAAGATTGAATATTAATTCATAACCTGCAGAAGTGATAGTGCCCAGTCATCTGGTTATTTGTTCCCTTATTTGATTTCATCTTCCAAGGAATTCTTACCGTATACTACCAGTAGCAACCTGGGCCTTTTACTCCCATCTAGTCAAGACCCTTTTCATTTATTTTTTTCTCAACAATGGCACTGAGAGAAGTAAGTAAGCACTTTATACTGCTGAATGAATCAAAACTAAACGCACTGATCAAAACCTAACATTAGGAGAAGTGAACATTGCTCAAGCCATAGAAATACAATAAAAGAACAGACAAATACTATGGTTTTGATGATTTAATTTCATTTGACAACTTGGCATGATAAAGCAAAATTATGGACAGCAGAAACAAATTCAACTGTGATATAGTGGAGTCACACAATTAACAACAATAGATTACAAAATACAATTGTCTTAACAAATATACTTCTGGTATACAGTTAGCAGGTTAAATATAGGTGTTCAAAGAATCAAATACAATTTATCAATACAGTTCATGTTGAAGAAAACTTACTGCTTACGTGAGACATTAAGGTTAAATTTTGCTTACATCATTGAAAAAAATCAAGTAAATGTAACTCTTGATTGGTTTATTAATAAAGTTTATCATAAATTCATACCAATCAGTTCATGTTTCTCTAATATTCAAATTCTTGATTTTAACTTTTATGTCTTTTTTTTTGAAGCAGAGCAAGTAGCATTTTTAAAGCAAAAAACTATAAATACCACTAATTGAGAATTGTTAAATTTTCTGTTCTTACTCTTGGAAAGCTGGAAACAAGCTTCAATTGTTGAAGTAAGCTTAACCAAACTTGCTTCTTTAAAGCAGAACTTTTCAGTTGTGCAGCTACAGCTCTGTAAAGTTTTGAAGTAACAAGACATCACAAATGTTGAAAAATGGAATAATTGGCAGTATATGAATAATAAAAACATAATAAGACAAGATGTATATAAGGATGATTATAAACATTAATAACACATCATAACAATTATAACATAATAATTGAACACAATAATAATAATAATAATTATGATACAGTTATAAATACATGATATATATAATACAATTTATTAGCAATATACATGATACGTTTCTTACTTGTATTGTGTCAGAATCAGACCAAAATATAACTTCTTACTTAAAGAAATCATGAGGCCATTCTATCTTTTTGTCATAAGTATTTTATATTAATTTATACTTTGATAAGTAAACTTCTACTTTTCAAAATTTAACAATTGTATTGAAATACTTTTGAACTGGATCTCAGCAATATAATAGTTGAGATCAATGAAAATTTAGAGAATCATAGTGAATTTTCAGATAAATATGTATAATAACACAAACATCTCTGTGTGCTTTATTTTAAACCGATTTGATATGTGGTATGAAAACCAGACAGATAAGTTCGCAAGTTGGTTTTTTAAGATTATGTTCAAGAAAGAGCTGAACTTAAATCAGCAACAAATCTGGCAGATTGACTGCTGATTCATCTTGGAATAAGTTGGCTATTATTCAAACTATAATTAATATACATTAATTGGCAGTTATTTAATTTGGCAGATAATCAAAAATGTTCTTGGAAACCAGTTAGAAAAATACCAAAATCATTCCCAAATATATTCTGTTATATAACTTATAACTTGAAAACCATTTATAAATCTATTTTGAGAAAACAATACATTGGCCCATATTTTCAGCTATTTACAAGCCTAGAGCCTACAGCATATTCTTGATGACTTTTATATATGTAACTAAGATTTACTCCATGGTATATCAAGGTACACCTTTTATATCAGAATATCTAGCACTGATTAAAATATTTATATAATTGATATTAGAAATAATATTGGGACTAACTAGATTGGCATGTTCCTGATACCATACAGACTAGATTCCAGCAAAATCGATTAGACATATTTGAAAATTTTTCAAAGTGCGTTTTCATTTTATGTTAAGTAACTAAAGTTCTATTTATACAGTCATTATAAGACTGTATTTGTTATTATGAAGCAGATATTCATATTAATATAAATACCATTGTTTAAATTCGATATACCAACAAAAGTAAGAGGACAGTTATATATTTAACTACTGTAGTGTCCAATTCATAATAAAATCAAGTCATTTCATGAAAGCAGGATTAATATGGTTTAATCCTCTAATCAATGCTCTTATGAGAAATGACAATATATAAGAATATAGTTTATAAATATGAGATGAATTAAATTAAAATAATACTGATAGCACTTCTAATAGAAAATAAATTCAAAACTCTATTTAACCCTTTTAATGTGATATGATAGCTTCTGATTTGCTGAGCCTATTTCATGATTTTATAAACAATTTGATGCCAAAACTAAGCTATAAAAGCACAGTTAAGCAATATCTCACCAGTGCATGGTTTTGATTTCGATTGTGACCTATATCAAATCTTATGCTGAAATAATATAAATAAATGTCCATAATCATGTAGTATTATACAAATGATTTCATGACAAATTTTGAACTCTATTCTAGAATATTACTTATGTCTTTGATGACTAAAATTAAGTACTTTTTGTAATTTCAGTATGCATTTTAAATCTTATTTTGATAGATAAAATTAAACACGTACCGGTATCCAAAATATAAACAAATTGGCCATCTTTTTAGATCTGGAATTTACATATTTCCTCCTAGTAATATATGAACAACATATTAGGTACATCATACCTATAAAGTCTCACTGAAAAAGGAACCTTTTAACAAACGTTGTTGTTTAACAAAACAAGTATGGTCAAGCAAAAATAATCATGCACATGAGCAGTTCATTTTATATATGGGTAGAATAAATAGTAATTTAAGAGCCTGTATAAATCAAACTTATTATGTTGTGTCTCTTACTTCCTTTACTACCTATGAAAAAGTGGACTGCTTTTGTTCATGTGTTGAATCATTCCTGGATGTGCAAAACTACAGGATGTCTGACTTTCGGCAGTAAAATAATAACAGCAGCAAAATTGGGTCAATTCACATCAGTTATACATACCAATATACACACTGAGTTTTAAATATTAACATAACAGTCAAATCACATCTGGTTGAAGAGACTACATCTATCATGTTATATTATGTTACACAATTATATATATGTACTGGCACAACATTATTTGGTGATAAAGTAACATGCAATAATTGTGTGACTATTGGTGATTTGTACGTCATAAAGTTGAAAATCGATCAATTTTCCATACATGAAAAAAGTATCAAGTAAAAAACAAACTATTGGTTACTACGAAGTCTTTGAAGGCAAGGATACTTTCAATACCAAACACAAGGGTATTTTGGAAACACTTTTAGCACTTTAAAAAGCTCAAAAATTAACAAACAAACAGTTTTCTTACAAGGTCATTCAGTCTTGGGTTTTATTATGCACATAACAACACACAGCTCTTGACAACTATCTCGTTTCATCATTAACAATTCACAGAGAGAAATCTCAATCACAATATTTTCAGTCAACTGTTGATATTGAAAAATGGCAGCCATATTTAAACAAATTTAAATATCAACACAAATCCAGCACTTTTCACTTTCACTTTAAAATATTCAAAGCAAAAACAGCATGTTTCCAAGTATACATTGAGAGCAGCAATGCAAAATATAAAAACTTAATGATTAACTGTTTGAAATATAGCTGCCATGTTAAAAACACCAAGCTTTTCATAACATCCATTTTCACAAAGGGCAGCCATATTGGAAATGAATAAATAACCATGATTCAAAGCACTAGAATAGGTCAAACCTCATCACCTTCATGAAACATAAAATTACACTGTTCTATCATTGTCATTAAGATTTCTACAGGGTACCGAGTATATAGCGCCATATTTTCATATGATTTAAATTCTAATCTCATTAGCGTTGGCCACCAACAGATCGCTAAATTACCAGAGTCCATATTGTTATATTGGTAATTTTGGGTTATTCTGAAATGAAAAGAGGAATTATGTAAATTTCTGTGATATGCTTAGAAAAAATAACCAACAGATTGAAATATGCTTAAATTAAAATTTATTTCAAGTGATGAATACATTTAAAATATTTTACACGGTTCACAAGACCGAGTGAAGTTTGAAATCTATCACCATAGTATTACAATTCTCTAACAGTTTATACTGAGTGATATCTAAAATATATTCACCACTAATTTTTATACCAATATGAGTATTTAACTATGATCTAAAACAGTTCACTGTATTGATTGACATTTGAAATCTATTCTCATTTATTTTACCTCAAACCAGTAGTGAATTATGTTCTAAAACAGTTCACTCCTCTGAGTATTTAAAATCTAGTCTAAAAATTCACATTTCAAATGAAGTAATAATTGATCCAAAATGAAACAGTAGACAAAAGACAGAACCTTTAAATTGGACAGGACCTTTTCAGAGACAACAGTTTTTATTTTTCCACTATATTCCTGTGATACTTATTTAATCAGCCTTTTCAACAGATTAAGTAACCTTTGATATAAAGTATCAAGATAATGTACTCACCTATTTAAATGTGTGATGAGATATTTAAGAACTTGGTAATTCTGTTCTTGTAATTTCTTTAATACACCACGTAAAGCTAACAATCTACTGCTTTTATCATTGACACCTACAAAATATACAATATGAACATGTTGTATAATGTACAATTTTAATATATTAGAATAAAAGAAGAAAATCTATATTTATGCACATTCACAACAGTTTTATATGTTTTCAAGAAATTTCTGTCTTTTTCTCCATTATTTTATTTTCCAAAAAATTATTAAGAGAGAAAAACAAAAGCATGCAATAAGAAACAAATTAAAATATGAATGTTTAGTTTTTTTTCTACATTCAGATTAGCATTTTCATGAGATTGACAAAAACAGCCCTCAATCAACCAACCTGCAGCTTCTATCAGTTCTTCATATAAAGATGGTGGTATAAGTGGTTCTGTTAAATCAGAGAAAAAACCTTTAAGGACGGTAGCTGCAGCATTGACTTGTATTTCTAAATCTAATGATCCTATCTCTGCACTGGGATCTACAATAATAATATTATTTCTTTACCAAATTATTCATAGATGTTAAATTACTTAATAATAAAGATAAAATTATGTTTTAAGCTTGTGAATGTTTGGCAAGGATGAAAAATTTATAAATACAGTCTGTGTTTTGGAAAAGTTCAACATGCCCAAAATCCTGAATGACAACTGCCCGATAATTGAGGTCTTATGACAGAGGTTATAACTATGTGCTCATATTGCTTTGATGTTACAAGAAAATCAGTATGAAACTAATATTCAGATAGAGCTCCTGTATGAACCACAACCAATAAACCTTTTGCAATAGCTCAGTTTGAAATATGATTAATTTCACATCATTTTTACCATGATTAGTGTGTATGAACACAATCATGCCAAAGCTTTGCCAAAATGAACAATAGCCAAAGTGGAGCAAAATATTATCATCATGCCACATAACAGCACGAGCAGCACTCATGGCTATTCAATAGATGTTTCTTACAATGTTTTAAAGCACAAGCCTACACATAGGAACCAAGATACCCTAAAATCCTGAAAATAAATCATGATTAAACAAACCCATACAGTTATCACCCAGCACCAAATCATTCAAACATTCTTTCATGCCTGAACATCAAAATATATTTTTCTCATATGACAATTAATTAAAATTATAAGAAATCATTTCATTTTCTTCAATTTACATCTATTTTATTATTCTCTTTTATTTATTATAAAACTATATGATATACTTAAAACTTTTAAAAAGATTGTAAAGGTTTTCTAAAATTTTTATGTGCATCGGGACATTGATATAGTCAATTTGCATCATTCCATTTGCTAGTCAGACATCTGTGGCTTTTGCAATTCCACTAAAGGTAATCATTTTATGAACTCACTCTCACAACAGCTGCTATTGCTATATAAGAACCTTTGAGGCAGTGACGTCATTAAACTATGGGTATTATGACATCACTACCACTAAGGTCCTCATATATCAATAGCAGCTGTTGTGATAGTGACATAAGTTAGTGACATAAGTTGAATTGCAAGAACCACAGATATTATGCTAACAATGTCCCTTATACACATAAAATCTTAGAAACCTCTTTACAATCCCTTTAAATTCAGAAAGGATAGTAAGAATATATTTTGATGTTTATCAAATAAATGTACCAGAATCCTGAAACCCATGCTATCATTGACACTACATTTTGAAAATTGTGCAAAATAATCTCCTTTTTTGCTGATACAAGATATTTGAAGTTATAAAAGATCAGAGCAAAATGTTGTAAATTCATTCTATTCTTCAAATGTATTCTTTTATATGTCCTTGCAACTATATACTATTTTCATTAGTCTGAGGTTCATTTCGTATATCATAATTTATAATATGATAGATATGTGTGAATATAATACTCAAGAGATAATATCAAGAATATATCATATAATATTTTATACCTGAACACCATGCATGATATTGTTGTGAACAGAATGGGATAACACAAATAAAAAGTTGATTAAATTGGGTAAGAATGGGATTTTGAACAATGGGATGGGTAATAACAGTCAATGTAAATATGTAGTCAAAGTGATAATTACATCTGTTACTTAAATAGAACGATCATTCTGACCCAACAAACAATCTATTAACAACAGTTTTGATCCTGGTTACTTGACTTAAATAGTCACTTGATTAAATGACAAATAAGGAATTTGAAACAATCCAAAATAAAGCATAAATATGTGAATTGTAATTATAATTCAGTCTATTTTCATCTTTAAACATCTAACGCATACATCAATGTCTCATATAACCCCTTTCATCTCTCTCATAATGCTTTCAGTTTCATTGAAATCATAATTTGATAGCTATTTTATTCAATAGCATTTCCTGATACTTTTCATTTAAAAATCCTAAAAACCACACCAGAAAGGCAATTCTATATAACTCTTATGTATGCAATTGAAAATCATGCTTAATTTTTTGCGGGGTTCTTACAAAGGCCAGCTTTCTTTTTTTCTTCATAATCTTCTGTAAAGAAATATTGGTAATGAGTTTGAAGGTTAAATCATTAGGTAGACATAATTTTCCCAGAAACCAAATTAGAAATTAACATTAAATAAGAAAATTAAATTACAGATGTATATGTGCTGAATTATGAATTTTATTGTCCATATTCCTGAATAAGGTAACATCTATAAACACTGTTGTGAGTTGCATTAATTACGCTGTGGCTTGTCAGCTAATCCTAGGGGTTGTCCACAAGAAATCTATAAATTTTCGTTTAAAGTCAGGTTCAAACTCATCAAAACATTCCTGAGGGTTAAATTTCTAAAAAAGGTTTGGTATCACCTAATGAAAACATTTTTCATCACAGACAATAAATTTCATATGTACAAATAAAATACTGACCAAAATTAAACAATATAGACATTGTGTTAAAATTAAAGTCTACCATTATGTGTATGTATTTGAATTAAGCGCAGGTTGTTAAATATAGATGTACTTACTTTCGTTAAATTTGGTTATCAAGAGATCTACTTGTTGTTTATTACCAGGAATTCTATAGATACCTTCAGCTTTCATACCTATAATATATTTACCATTATCATATAAAATATTTGATAAATATACACCATCAGCAGTAAGCTCTAGAACAAAGGCAAATCATCAATGGCATTAATATTTTCAATGTGGACTTCCATTCACCCCAGACTAGTCATAGACCTGCTGTACCTGCTCAATTGTGTTGTTTTTTGTCTTGTCAACCTACTGTTGTCACTTTTGTGATTAACCCTACCTAAAGGCTCATCAAATAACATTAGATGGATCATTTAATGAAGTAATAACAAACGCCAGTATAAAACCTACCCTCTTCCTCTATAAATTGTATACATCTCTCTATAAAGACTGGTATTAAGGGGTTATTGACTGACATAACGAAGTCCTCAATATAACAACCACTTTGTGATGGCCCTGATCCTTTACTATCCTTCTTCTTAATCTTCTTCTGTAATTTTAACTGTTCTTTCTGTTTCTTTTCCTGCAATAAGAAAACAAGTTAATGGAGGAAATAGGAGATAGGGTTTTGAGTTGAGTTTACATTGCTTCCCACAGCATGATATGGTATTTAAAAAAATTTCTTACACAAGCCACTTAATGAAGTTAATGAAATATGTTTTTTTATTTACCCCATCAGTAGTGATCAAAGATTCCTGTGAATCAGATCTATTGCAAATACAAGGTTTTATATTAGTCTCTGAACAAACAGTGGCTGATGCTCCCATTTTCTTATTTCTGTTTCATACAAATATGATGTTATCCTTTCAAATCATACTACTAGTGTATATCAATCTGTATATCAATCTCTTTCTATATGACCGAAGATTAACTCAACTTAATCCATTCCACTAAATATATTAATCTACTTTGTTATTAGTATACAATAGTTCAATCTAAAAATCAAATATCTTAATGGCCAAGACATATCACAACAGTAATTCCACTCTATCTAATCCACTAAAAGTATTAATGCACATTTAACTCCTTTACAAGAAAGAAGTCAATCCAATATTTGAAGTATTTTCCACATGTCAAAACATGAAGTCCACTTAATGTGTTTTTTTAACATTCTGGACTATTGTATCACAAGTCAAACAGCTAATGAGGACACTTTCCATGTAAATAATATCAGGCAAATATCTATGACAATACAAGGAAGTATTACTCTAAATTCTAACCCATGTCATTTGATATTACATGTCAACTTTAGGTACTACATAATAACAATATGTATTGTTTATTGACTGTTCATTCATTCAGTGTAGAGGACTAATCAATATGGTTGTCATTGGTAACTATGTCAACAAACTGTTAACTGATAAGTAATTGATATACTACTATATAATTAAACATAGTCCTTATCTAATGACAAATTTAAATTTAAACACTATCTTTCAAAGAAATTTTAAACTTTTCTTAGGCACAAAAGAGGGATTTGTTTTGTTGTTGTATTCTCATATCATTTTGTTTATTTCAATCTATTTTTTTATTCTGAGAAATATTTAATTTATGACAAGTGGAGAAAATACAATCTGTTTAAATATTTCAAATATGGGGTCAACTTTTAATTTTTGAATTATTCATAAGAAAAATTTCATTTAAACTAATGAAAAAGGCTAATCAAATGCTATCACATTTTGGCATAAAAAATTTGATAATGCAGTATTTCCTAAAAAAAATAAAAGACTTAAAGATGGGTTTCGTTATTTTTTAGTGTCAAATTAAGCAAACTATTTGATTTCAAATGTTTCTAACAAACTATCGTGTATTCTTAATCATATGATATGTTCTTATTGCATAAAATTAAGAGATTTAACCAATCATAAATGTCCACATATGTACAGCCTGGATAAACAATAAAAATACTTTTTGACCTTTCTTTATCGGTCACTCATCGAAATTCTGCTGGTAATTTTCTAATTTAGCTAATTATGAATTAATTATGACGATGTGAGACAAACTGGTATTTCTCCAAGTCATTAGAACACCTATACTTTCTATTCATATAATAAATGAAAATAACTGAACCCATCTTTAAAACACAATGAAAATACCAAAGGAAAAGACTATACGAGCCAGCAAAAGAGATGAAAAATCATAACATTGCAATATCATCTGACCCAGGACATTTGAAAACCAACATGTTATTTTTAAAAGGCCTAGCTGTGTTAGTTGATACAAAGATGAAAGCAAATACAAGCAGTTCTAAATTAGGGCTTAATTAGACATCCCTTTTTATCTCCATCTTATTGGGATAATGAGACTTGGCAATGCCATGTAGTGGGCAATGTGTATATTAAGTTTTTTTTCAGCTCAAGCTATCAGAGGTCAAGTATAAAGAATAAATCAAATTTAATTTCTTTAATTTCTTAAAGAATTTCCTTACCTCTTCTTTTTGTTTCTTTCTTTCATCATCTTTCAATTTCTTTTCTTCTTTCTTTCTCTGTTTATCAGGATCACGATATGTTTTACCTTTTAATAAACTTCTCCAGTTACCACTATCATTGAGATCATAATCATTATCATCAGTTGAAACTGTTCCATACTGTAATATAATATAATAAATCATTATCATCTATAATAAATCATTATCATCAGTTGATACTGTTCCATACTGTAATAATAATGTAATAAATCATTATCATCTATAATACATCATTATCATCAGTTGATACTGTTCCATACTGTAATAATAATGTAATAAATCATTATCATCTATAATACATCATTATCATCAGTTGAAACTGTTCCATACTGTAATAATAATATAATAAATCATTATCATCAGTTGATACTGTTCCATACTGTAATATAATACAATAAATCATCATCATCTATAATAAATCATTATCATCAGTTGAAACTGTTCCATACTGTAATATAATATAATAAATCATTATCATCAGTTGATACTGTTCCATACTGTAATAATAATATAATAAATCATTATCATCAGTTGATACTGTTCCCTACTGTAATAATAATGTAATAAATCATTATCATCTATAATACATCATTATCATCAGTAAGTTGATACTGTTACAAATCAAATTCTGCTGTAAAGATTGTTGGTAAAAACTGTTACTTACCCGAGGTAGTGTACTATAAGCTGGATTGTGTGTTATATTTAAATTGTACGAAATTTCATCATCATCTGGAATCAAAAACAATTATCGATAAGACAAAAAATTAGTAAATTCTCAAAATATATATTAGAATGAGTAAAATTCTCTACTTAGGGTTAATTGTAAAAATGCAAGTCTAATCAAGCCAATGATTTTAAAATTGGTAGAAAATGCTCTTATATATGTCTACTGAATAAAAACAATTTCACAAACTTACGCATTGGTGGAGATCCTAAATTGAGATGTTCTGTATCTATTGGTGGACTAAACATTTTAGGTACACCAAACGATGTATAGCGACCTTTGTGTTTAAATGATTTACGTTTGACAGGTTTTCTAGTGGTAGCTAGTTCATCACCTGTACCTTCACTACCTTCTGATGGTGAATTACTTCTCACTGAAATCATATACAAGAGTTCTTTCAAGGATTCATATCATACAGTTGACGAACTCAGTCTAATATACCTCCAGATACTGCCATTATTTAGTAAAGACTTGGCGTGTTTTTTGCAAACTGATCTTCTCATGAAAGATTTTATCAATTGATGTTTCTCCTCCACACATAATTTGCAGATGAGATTCATACCAACATGGTATGGGGATAATGAAGAACAAAGCAATAAATGACAGAAGGCAACACAGGGATGCTTTCACCGAATAACTATTTCTTTCTATCAAACCATCTTTCAAGTGCATACAAGATCAGTTTTTCATCTCATTCTTAGCTACAGAAGCAAAGTGAAATGGGAATCAGAAGGGAAATTCATTACTTTTCTATACAAAGCCAAGTGTCTTTTCCATAGTGGTAGATAAATAGATGAAACATACCTCTAGTATCTGGATCAGTAGTTATAGCTAATCGTGGTTGATAATTATCATTCATAGATTTAGACATAAAGAAGGATGTGCCATGTAATTTCTTACTACTAGATTTCTTATATGGTTTGGGTCTTCTTTCTCTTTCTAATGAACTAAACTCTGAATCAGAATCTGTGTGACCTAAATAACAAAAAATTGATACATACTTTATAACTTCAAACAAATTAAATTTTTGAATCCTAATGTAATTTATAAAGATTTTATTCAAAATCCAGAAAGGTAAAGGCCCTCTTCACCTATGCTAGCCAAAGCAATCGAGCTTCGAAAAGATATTTCTTTTTTTGGAACTTGATATTCACAAGAAATAATAATACTCAATATTCAAATTCACTTACATTATAACAGTTAAATTAAGCTGAGATATCTAGTTAAGATAACATGTTGAATTTTCACTTACGTTTTTCCTTCTTTTTAGCAGAAGATTTAATACGTTGTAATTTTCCTGGTGGTAAAGCATCTTCAACTGATGCATAATCATTCTCTACATACTGATTTACAGCATCCTGTAATTAATCAATTCAAATGAAGTTGACATAAATAAAAAAGAGTCAATACATAAAGGTATCCTTCAGATTTTCTCCCAGAATTCATTCATTAATGTTATTAATAATTCTATTCCTTCCAGTGTGAGGATAAATATGTTGTTTACATAGGTGGCGCTCAATTGGAGAGCTCTGATCATGTTACGTCCGTTCTATTTCTGAACAGTATGGAACCGATTTGTCACATTAAAAATTGTTCTTTCTATTCCGTCTGTGCCATTTTGAATTCTGTCTGCATCTACAATTTAATTGACAATCAATTTAGGTGCCACACATTCTTTTTTTTCACATTCTGGTTGAATCCACAAAAACTAAATGATCAGCACTCACCAAACTTTCTAAATATATATAACAATTAAAAAACAGTTGTTTTACATACCTTGACAGTACCATAATCGGCTATTTCTATAGGTTCAGGTATGGCAAGAGGAGCACACACTTGATGTCCACGTAGTCTTTGATGATTTCCCATCATAAGTGGCCCATGGGACTGAAAAAAACCAAAAAACACCTGTTGTAGGAATACTGTAGTAAAAAATTTCAAATCGTTACAAGTAATTCTTGAGTGTTTGATTTTTTAATGAGCGTAAAATGAATGTTAGAAAATATAAAGATATTCGCATCAAATAAAGATTATAAAACAAACACTACCATAGATCTGGTTTGAAGATTTTTTCTCCTCTCTAATGAAGCAGCAAAAGATGGATTGTCCCAACCATCGACACTTGGATTGCCAGGTGAATATAGCTGTGCTCGTTCATATATTTCATTATCAGCCCATACTATATCTTGACTAGATGATTCATAAAGTGATGCTTCCCCTAATGCTGAAAATAAGATCAAATTTGAATTAACATTCCAGATATTTTTGTTACAAATCCAGCTCAGACGAATAACTTAATAAGACTGAAATAAATAATAAGCAATATTTTGGACATTAGCATTAAATTTTAGAGCAAAATATTATCTAAAAGCTGAAATTTGCAGCAATTTGGATTTTCCTTTTATTAGCCCATTACAGCTCATGATATTGTTCTTGCATGATTAATATAAAGCTTGCATGAGAACTGTTAGTATTAAAGAAACAGCATCAGATATTCTTTAATCAAAAAATAGTCTTCCCCAGTACATAATAAAAGTTACTGTCTCACTTAACATTGACTATTCTACATACATTTGTATTTTATAAAATTTCTAAAAATATCATTACTGTTAGGAAAGTCATAATTCCAAATATTTGTAACTTTATCCAAATTCTATATTCATTAATAGTAAATATAAGTTTATAAATTATCCCTAATTTAGGCTTTACTACTCCATCAAGACATTATAATAATACCTTGTTTAAACCCAATATCAAATTTATTTTAGCTATGTAAATAATATTATGATGATAAAAACAACATATAATAAATAATAAATGATAATATTATTTATCAATATCAGTCTATTATGATGGTATGAAATAAATCAGTTGTTAGAGATATCATAGAATGAAAACAAACTATTTGACAAAACAAAAATGACATGAAAAAACCCTAACTATATAAGAAAAATGAACAAAGATTTCATATTTAAGGAATTTTATCACATCAATTAGTAGAGCTATACACAGTGAAAGATTGTGTTTTCTTCCTTATCCAGCAAATTATTATATGATACAAGCCCCAGATAGATTTTATTTAGCAAATCATACAAATCGAGATATCATAAGATATGATACAATTGCCAAAATTTTGACAAATGATTTCCTTGCACCTAAAGTCTTTCTTGTAGCAAACTAAAGTCAAATTTAGTATGTAACAATTAGTAATTGAATGATTAATATTAAAAGTAAAAAAAGTAACTATCGAGTTCTTTCAAGCTAATTTTAGCTAATAGTGCTGCTTAGCAATTTTGCTTCTATATTTCTGTAATGTAATTTAATGGAATGGCATTTTGACATTCACAGTGACAATCCAATTAAGCGTGAAAGTGAACCAAAAAATAAAGCCAAGAATTTAGAAAAACAAATAGAAAAATCTTCAATTATTATTTTCCATGCGAGATCCTAAAATTTGTTGGTCAACTGGTTAACATGCTATTGGATTACTTAATCAACTCTTCAGAAATGAAAAGGAATATTAAGTTGATGTTGTCATCTATTCAAAAACTGAAAACTTAACAGACTTAAAAAAAAAAACAAAGACACATAAATATTATAAACAAAACAATTCAGTCATGCTAGCTTTCGTAAGCAAAATAAAACAAACTTAAAAGTTAGAACAATTAAGACATCAAGCAACCATGCATGGTTCATCTACACAGCATGCAGTAAAAATAATATGTCATCACCCTCTTCACTGCTGGAAATTTGTTTACAAGCAGACGGCAAAACACTTCTCTTCGTTGGTTCATTCAAGGCCCAAGCTTTATATGAAGAGGAAAAGAGAGTTGGTTAGATGTATACAAAATATATGGTTCACATGGTACATTGTATAAGTAAGAATAGGCGGAGCACTATGTCCAGTGCAGAACAATGGATACAGTAGAAAATGGAAGAAGCAAACCCACGAATGAGACACAATTGACTTCTTCTAATTTCTACTGTACACTGAACAGGACACCAGACTTTATCTATTCCCACCTTTAGGCAGTAACATAATCTATATAACTTGTTTCATGTTTAAGCTGTTGAGAGCTGTTTTGGATGCAATATCTGTAAAGTAGGTTTCACAAGTTGATAAGTTGATAGGTTGCTGTTTGTAACTAACAGAAGGCTACTGATTTGTCCTAAGTGAAGGTCAGAGACTCATAAGTGGAGGTAATAGGTCCCCATGTCAAGCAATGAACCCAGTAACTTTTGTTCAATACATTGGTTTGATTACATTTGCCAGAACACTCATTGATAATAAAAATCTATATAAATAAACACACTAAACATAAAACCCAATAATAATCACATTATGGTACAATACATATGATTAAAGATGATACCAGTGAGACAAGAAACACACAAGTACAAAAAATATATATTTTCTTGTACCCTTTCTGAAATTCAAGTATTGTGAGTGATTATGAAAAACCTTGGTACCTATACAAATATATAGTTAACTGAAAACATTGTTGAGCTCAAACTGCTCTTACTTTTGGATCTATTGTGGATTGTAATTCGATTTTGATATATGCTTATCTACATACACATTTGTTTTCAGCAACCATTTCTGTTGCATCACACAAGTTACATAAAACCTTTTTCATTTCATTTTTTCATAAAAAAAAAAAGCCAAACAAGATAAGAGTTTGCTAAATGTCAAAAGATGAAAATGGCTACGTAGTATAAACATAATAACAATAATGATAATATAGTGAATGTATTTAGCTACTGCCATATTGCACAGCTCATGTGAGCAGACGTGAAAAAGACCAAACTGAAATGACAGAATACCAGTGAAATATGTACAGAAAAGAATAAGGTATACTAACAATATTCAAATCTAAAGCAAGTTGATGCATAGAATGATGAAAAACACCAAAGTACAATAGATAATGATATTCATGCACATCTTCGGAAGTTTCCAAACATTAACAAGAGAAGTTTAAATTAACGGAACCAGATTATATTGCATATTTTATAATCTTTCTACCACAATATAAAGTATGTGAATACAAGGTAGATCTGATGCTGTAGAATAAGGAGGGATTTGGTTTACAGTAAGAAAAGATGGAGACCTATTGTGAGCAGTCAAGGTTATTTTTTTATGCAAGAGCCTGGAGGGAAGCCATATTGTATTCCCAGATGAATAACAAGTTGTATAAATTAATACATGTACTTATCACAAGGAAATTTCTTACTTCCAAGGAATAGTGCATTATTAAAAGTCAAATATAAAGACTGTTCATGTTTATTTTTGGAAACGACCCTATCTGTGCATAAACATAGACTTTGACCAACTATACAATTAAACAACAACCAATCAAGATTTATTCACCTTCATCTTCCATCTTGTCTACCTTCATACTACTAGATTTACGTAATTGTATGAAACTGAACGTCTGCACCTCTGTATCAGACGTGTCCTGACTTTCACACAATCTTAATTTAGTCTCACAACTATCTAGTATAGGTAGAGACTTACGATGGTCCTTAGTGTAAGCAGCTAATAAAATTCAATTAAAATATTTCAATTCATAATCGATACAAACTTTGCAAGTTACCTAGACAGAAATTTTGAGATCTAATATGTCAAAACCTCTAATATTGGCATAAAAAATGTATGCATTATTGCATGTTTTTTTCTATCAAATTTTGCCCTTCAGTGCCTAGAAATAGAATATAGTCCTGATTGTTAAATACCAAGTTTGATCTTACATTACATAGTTTTATGTTTCTAAACAGAACAAGGCTTTTCAGTAATTTAGAACATCAACAGTTATGTTTAGTTAGCTTTTTTTATTTTCATTGCTCTAAGCCAAATTCTATTTTAATTCTAATTCTAACATACATTTTAAAGCCATACAACTAATCATATATACATGCAGTGTTTATTGCATGTATAAATAGACTCTTATTAAGATATACCAGAATCTCATTCCAAAAGATTTCTAATCTCCAATAAATTGATTTACTTATGTACTTTTTTTTATCTCCTTTGTCATTCGAGACTAGTTACACTTAAGTTTTTTCACAAATAGTTCAAAAGAATGACAATATAAATGTTCATCAAGTGGATGCAAATATATATGAAAGATGCATGGCATTAATTGCCTTTTATACAGAACCCTCTCAAAAACAATAAGCATGAGCATTCACAAAGCTTTCTTGCAAACATGCTCTGCTTTAAGAACCGTTAAAAACCTTCATTCTAAACCTGAAGGGAATGTATGTTCATTCAGTAAATGGTACTCTGATATTTTTGTAATTTAATTTCACACTTTAAAGAGGTGAGCTTGGCCAGATGGCTAACTACTATTCTTTCCTGTAAGCTTCTAGTCTTTGTATCAGGGACACTTATAGCTCCATTTGTACCATTCACATTCCTATCATCCCATCTCTGTGATTCATGTTCAGAATAATCTAAGGCTTTGTGGTTACCTGAGCTTTGTGGTTTATATAAGATTCTAAGGTTCATCTGAGCTTTGTGGTTCATCTGAACTCTGGGGTTCAACTAACATTCAGAGGATCATCAGATCTCTGGGGTTCAAAACCAGGCATCAGATAAGATAGGAAATTGGATTGGTGCAAATAGAAGCTATAACTGTCCGTTATACACATAAGAAGGTTATAAAATCTTTGTTTGAATCTTTAGTTTTAATGATGCCAGAGTATATATACTGATAAACCATTTAACCCTTTGGACACCATGATAAGAACACTATAATGGTTTGGCTCCACTTACCAGCATATTTATCTCTTCTACTCTTTACATAGCTAGGTCGTACCAGGTGCTCCCCATTAACTGAAGGATCAGCTACTTCACTGTATATATCATCTAATGGTGGTGGGGAAGTAGATGAAGCTCTCTCTCTATCACTATCAGAATGATACTGATTGGGATGTGTTGGCTGATCATATATTGGTTCTGAATCTTCTGTACTTTGACTGAAACAACAGATTTTTTTTTTCAATTCAACAGAAAAAAAGAAATGACATCTGACTACATTATTCATTTTTGTTGCTCCAAGTAACAAATTGAATATTAGGCAATGTATGTCTAGGAGTTGAATATATGGTTATTGTTGCTTCTTATCTCAGTCAGGAGTTGAAGTCTGGTGGATTGAAATAAAGGTATGAATGTGCTGTGCATGGTGTTCATGAAGATGAAGCCAATACACAAAGTTTGGACGTGATTGGCTTCTATAGTCTATAGTATCTATCATCCTTTACTGTACACTGCAAATACTCTGTTAAGTCAGTTTACACATACAGTGTAATTTCAAATCAACTCAATAATGAGCATTATGAGTTTTATCGTTAATCATTTTTTAGTCATCCAAAATGAGGTAAATTACGAACCTGTTGCTACTACTTTTAGTAGTATGATACATATCATATGGTACAGGTAATTTAGCTGGTGGTCTATGATCTATATAGTTATGTCTCTCATATGCTGGAGGACTAGGTTCTTCTAGTGGTTCTATATACAATGACTCTGAGTCTTCCTTTCTATCCCAGGCATCTTTAAAGAATGGGTTATACACTGCAGCTGAAAGAAAAAATATACAAATCACTTTCAAGGCAAGATCAATTGTTTATGCTCAAGTATTTTTCGGAGTTCAGAAGAGGTTTTATACCATTTTATGTACTGTTTATTAATTCTAGGATTCCTATAATTCCAAAGAACACATGATCAGATTATGTCACGAAAGTTAATACAATTCAAGCTTAAACAGTACAATTTCAGCACAATACAAAAAAGTCAGCTACACAAAGTGGCAACAAGAGACAGGTAAAGAAACTAATAGCTCAGTTGGAAGCGAGTTGGATTGTTGTCGGCTTGATGATTAGGTGATCAGTTTGAACCCCCTTCAAGGTAAGAAAATTTCGGATGGCATGAACAGTGCTTCTGGTAATGAAATCAGTAGGTGCTGTGAGTTTAAAGCCTTCTCAAGGTAGGAAAAATTCTGCTTCCAGTGCTTCCAAAATCTTGGATGTGCAAGTTTTGGCTTTCATCCCCTCATACCAATTACACGAGAAGAATTATAAAAAGTTACAAAATATAATAAGGCAATGACTTACTCTGTTGTTGGAAGTTAGCTGTGGTTGTCATAAAATGAGCATATAGAATATTATCAGCTAAAGCATTGCCTTCTTTAATCAATGTCTGAGAGATATCACTAGAGAAAAATGATGTAGCTCCACCACTATCAGCAACACAAACTATTAACTTAGGTACTGGTGGTAATCTTTTACCTAAAGCTCTGCAAAAAAAAGGAGGTGCGGACATGAGCTTTAGACAATTAGAATTATACAATTTTACATTCTACATTCCAGCACCAGATAGGGCCAATGAGAGCAAGCAACACCTTGCTGTGTGATATGGTGGAAATTTGTCCAGGGCATCGGAATAAGCTTACTCTTTTTTTTACTTCCAACTGTCAAGGGATCGCACTTATAGTGAGCAAGCACCATACTCACAGAAACATTAAGTGACAATAAAACTTACTGTAATGTTGATAATGAAGCTCTACGTTTTGATGAATACACTAATATATAACCATGGAATATGCCTTGTTGTAAACTACCTCCACCATGATTGGGAGAAATCTCAATTTCTATTTTCTGTTTACCACAGTCTAAGAAAGCATCTATATTCAATGTATTGGGACTATTAGTTGATACATGACAGTTTTCATTGTTTAGTAATGGACCTAATGGTATTTCTATTGGCATTGGATCTCCACACATCATACACATAGCTATCCTGTAACAGATAAACAGAGGTAATATGTTAAAATCAAGAACAACTTTTTCAGTCTACAAAATCATTGGGGAAGTCATTTGCCTATTATGAATTATGAATTTTGATGGTTTGGTTAGTTTTCTAATTTGGTTTACAAAATGTACCTTCAAGAGCATTTACCAGCAGAACATTAAGCATCAAATATGCCCTTAATAACAAATTTGTCCAAGTTTAAGATATTCCAACCAAAATGACATTAAAATACTTACCTGATATCTGGTTCTATTTGATCAGTCATTAACCAACCACCTAAACTATTATAACCTTGTTTAATAACTGATTGAATAGCTTGGTGTACTTGTTTAGTAGTAAATGTTTTAATGTCACCATCACTGTAGACTTCATCATCAGGTATTTCTACAAACTCTCCATGTAATCTAGAAAGTAAGAGATGATATTTTAACTGACAACTTTGACTGACATGACTGATTGCAGGGCATAGCCAACTAGGGTAATGGAAACTTTGCTTGACATGAAATGCTTGGTTATATAGACAAAATGCTAGTCTTATAATCTCTGTCAGAGTGTGAAAGTCTGGTGACCTTGAATAAGTCATATTTCCTCATTATTTCAGTCAACCCAGCTATAAATGAGTTATCCTTGTAACAAATAGTTTGGTTTTTCTTCCTACTCTACCAGAGAAGATGTACAGCCCAATACAGACTTAGAAACTGCAAAACTACACTAATACAAATAATGCTAGTCTTTATTGGACACCATTGACCCATTACTGAAGTATGCATACAAGGTTACTTGTATATCTTCTGCAATATTCATCATTGCTTGATGAAGACGAAAGCATCATCGTCGAAACGTCGCAAGTTATTTATTAAAGTAATTGTTATCCATATTATTGTGTCCAGTTATTCATACCCCAGTTACTAAATGCCACTCAAGGAAGTTAATAATTAGGGAATTTTGTAGCCTGGAATAAAAGAGAAGAACTTTACCTTCTGGCTAATGACTGGCCTTCCTCTCGTAATATTTCCCGATGTTTTTCTGATTGACTAGATTTATATGACTGTATAATGACTATCTGCATACTACTCATAGTAGCTTCTTCTTCACGTTGTAGATCTGAGAATAATGACTGCTCTAAACTACTTCTAATATATTCTAATGTCTCTTCTGAATTATATACACATAAACAACCTGTAAAACAGAGAAAAATATACTTGTAAAAATTTAAAAATATTCAAAAAATTCATCGTGATGGACAATGAAAATAGTTATCAGAAAAAAAAATAGTAACAAGATATTTTCTTCTCAAAAAGGAACTTAAAAGTGTTTGCAAATAAAAATAGAAGCGATCAAGTTATGATTGTTTATAAGGTGTGGCAAATAATGATAGTACTGAAATAACAATCAAAATGATAAACTTCAACTTTTTCAACAAAAATCAAATAACCATGCAAAACGTCTTGAATTTTCCTTGCACATTAGAACAAAAATGGATTAATGTCAAATCGTCATGAGCATCATTCCATAAAGGTAATCTACTACTACATTATATTAAAAAAAAAAACAACTATTCAATTAGCCATGCTTATTGCTTATTTAAATTATTTCAATGCCTTCTTAACTAAATTGTTTGTGCTCCTTAATGCATTTCATTTCATTTCTAAACTAAATTTTCAAAATATAGAAAAATACTTATGCCAGATGAAACTAAATATTATCAACTTTGTTAAAAACATAATCTATAAAGGTACTTTCACTCTGTATCAAAAATTAGTAATAGTTTTCCTAACTTAAATAACTTGAAATTTAGCTTTGGGTTTTCGACCCAGTTTGGGGGTATCTGCGTTTTCACCTTTCACTTTTTTATTCTTTGTAGGCAAGGTGGAACCCAAGGGATTTAATGGATGTTAATAATTGTTGATACACAATTATTCAGTGCTTTCAAGATCATAGAAATCTTTGTTTCAGTTCACTCCATAAGATGATAGTACCTCTATCCATCTGATTAAAACACATTTAATAAATCCATTCCTTTCCAATATCAATATTGTTAGAAGTTGAACATTTTCTTCCCATAATTTTGACAATTCTAGAATATTCATTATCATATATTTTATAGGCTAGCATAAATTCATCTTTACAATGTCAAGCTATTATGAACTGTGTCATTTACCTTGACTGCAATAGCTGACTTTCTAGTATCACAGAAGTTTGTAAATGCAGAATTTTTTTAGATTGTAGGTGAGCAAATACAGTCCCTAATTACAAATGCAGTCAAATTGTTTAAAGTCTTTCTGTCAAGGGCTCTGATCGGCTGCATTAGCTCAGATAAAAACCAATCAAATTACTGCATTTGCAAAGTGGCTATTGCAGTCAAGGTATTAGACACAGTTCATAATACTTTTGACATTGTGGAAATGGCATAAATTTCAGCCATTGACAGCTTCATATTAAATTGTGTTTTAATCAGATTGTAATTTATAAACATACCAGTGTTCTGTGGCAGCAGACTTCATGCTGTATAAGGTGTTAATCAGCATAAAAAAAACAATGTTTAAATCATGTTACCTGTTAATACAGAGTTGCCTGATTGACAACCTGTTAATACAGATTCGCCAGATTGACACATACCATGAGGTTTGAAATTAGCTGTTCCAAGAGCATTGTGTTCTAAACTAACATCACCATCAATAGGTCTATAATCTAAACTATAGGTAGTATTATGATATACATATTCATCTTCTGTACAGATTTTCTATAAAAACAAGAAATAAAGTTTTGTCATATAATGATACATTAACAAATCCTTAATATATGAATTTTGAAGATTAAAAAGAAAAGAAATTGAGTTATATCTTTTTGTTCCAGATTAGGCTAATGAAACATGCCTTCTACTGTTGCAATTTCTAAAAGTTGAAGGACCTTCAACATTCACAGTCTGGGGAACATCTAGGGTCTAGGGGATTTTTTGTCCAAGTCGACTGGATGTTTTTATAAGTCTGTTCCTCTAATAAGCATCAGTGACACAATTTAGATACAAATACTTAAGTACCATTCATTATAAGGCTTTTTGGATTCTGGATTTCTGGTTTCGCGACGCACTGTATATCCTGTAGGGCTGAAAGAGGATCAGCAACTATGAAAGACTTACTCTTATTTCTCTGTTGAGTTCAGTAGCTACACCATCTTTCCCTAATAAAACTAAATTTAAAGGTTTTTCTCCACCTTCTAATTCTTCTACAGATTCTATAAATGTTGAAGTTGGTCTGAAAATGACAAAAAATAATTTGAATCTAGCCTCTGCCTCCTACTGTGAATAAAATATTTTTGTCCATGTAGAACTGGTTGTATGTTAGACCAGACTATTGGACATCAATGAAATATACCCAATTGTGATCCTTGTATAGTAATGACTTTCTAATTATTATCATAGGTTATAAACTTCCAAATATATCAATGATTTACCTTAACCTCGATCAATACCCAAGCAGTTGTTTAACCAGCCGTTACCATGTGACATTACATAATCTTTCAGTAATACACTTCAAGTTATTTTACTTGGAGTTCTAGGTTTTATTTCATTTACACTGTATGCACTAAACTGAACAACTGATAAGAAGAGAGAATAAAGTTGACATACCTGCTGGCATAACTAACTAGAAGTTTCTGAACCTGATTGTCTATACATTGATCTTTAAAATAACATCTATCTTTACTGGGACATTCTATAAAACCTAAATGATTCAATATCATCACCTTTCTATCTTCCTCCAATCTTTGTAACATTTTATATCTGGAAAAAATAACATTTATTGCAGTCACGTAAACATTTCGTTGGCAATTACATCCATTATTTCATATACCAAATATGATCCTTAGCGCTAAGATCGTTTCAAGAATACATGGCCAGTATTGGAAGATATCAAACTCACTATTAGTCAAAAAAATGGTTAGTATTAAAAAAAAACCTGAAACTAACCTTGGATCATCTTGTAAAGCTTGGTTAATCCGTTTTAAATGATCAGGAGTTAATCTGCCAGTAGAATTTAATCCTAAAAATACTTGAGATTTTTCCCACAATAATTCTTGAAAGTCTTGTTTAGCTTTTAATTTGATTTCTTGTTGATGTTCATCATACACAATGTTTTTCTCTAGATCTCCTAGTCCATTATAGCACTCTTTTCCCACAAAAAATACATAAGTTTCTCCTAGCGATTTTCCAGGTGTTACCTGAAGGTTTTCCTCTAATAATTTCTTGAAACGTTTCTGTAATCTGTAAAACAAGCGCAATCAATAACAATTTGACAATTTTTTTCATACAAATCTTGAGAAATACACTTAAATAAATTCATAAGTAAATCTTCAGTTCATTTTCCTAATACTCAATCACCTGTGTACTCTATTAGACACACAGCAGTGTGCATTAAGAGAAATATAGCACACACGATATTGGTTTATTGATTTATCAAGAAAGGTTTCCATGCCCAGATTTCAACCTACACAGCCTTATAATCCTGGACATTAAATCTACCAAAAAGCATGCTACTTTCTGAGCCAGCTTTTGAAAACCAACAAAGATGGAAGTTTTTCATTCACAAAAACAGTACTATAATTGGAATAGAAACCAGAAGATAAAGAATGGAGAATAAAGCAATACATACTCTCTCTTCCTATGTTGTACTTGTAATTCATTCAGTTGATTTCTATAACAAGTATCACCCTCTGGAGTATTGAGCAAATCAAATGGTAATCGGACTTCATTGGAGTCTATAAATTTATCATGATATTTCCAAGTATCCTCTTCATCTTCAATAACATGCAGAAAATATCTAGAAAAATCTTCATGTTCCTCTACAAATTTCTGAATTGTTGACCAGGATCTGGAAAATACCCAAAATATTTTAAAATAAAGCTAATGAAACCTGACGAGACAAATTGTTTCTTCTGCAAAGATCAAGGTAATCCTTTGAAGACAAGAAGTTTCATCATAATAGAATTTTAACTGCACAGGGCATGCTCACACCTTTGGAGCACTTTATGTCACTTTCTGACTGGGCTTGTGAAATTCTTCTTTCAAGTAAAAAAAAACAAATTTAAAAATTGTTTGTGAATGTAGTACTTACTTCTCTTCAACTAAATCTAGACTAGGTAAAAAATGACTAAGTATCGCAGGTAACTGACTGAAATATTTCCTTTCTTTAGCACGAATCTGTTCATCACGTAATTTTCTTGTATGTTGTTTAAACACTTTATGGGCAACTTCAGTTCCAAATAAATCCACAAAATGTCCAAAATCAGATTCCTTTCCTAGCTTCTTTTGTGACAAATTCCATGAAGCTTTAGGATCTATGATATGTGCTTTGAGTAAATTCCTGTACGCTTCTTGAGCCACAGCTAAGATCTCGCGTCTAGATTTCATGGCTTCACTAAATGGTATTACTTTAGTCCGTGGTTTGGTTTTGTCTATTAAATGGGCAAGGGTCATAAAAGCTAATTCAATGTTCACATTCTCCTGTGCTGAAGTTTCCACTATTGGAATGCTTCCTTTGAATTCCTTCCGCGCCACCAGTCTTTCAGCCTCGCGTAAATAACGTTCATCAGCTTCATCACATTTAGTTGCTGCCAGAACCACAGGTTTTTTAGTCTTTAACGCCTGGTTTAAAATCAGTGTGACAAACTCAACTTGTTTTTCCAATGGTCTATCTTTAACATTACTAACATCAAAACAACAAATGAAACCATCAATGAGTAACTTGCCATCAGGCATTAACTTCTGCTCATAAGCGTTATCATTCTCCATTCCTAGAAATAAGAAAGGTCAGGATAGAAATAATCAGGTAAATCAACTCTGTACTGGTAGGTGTAGATATTGCTGTAAGCTACTGTTCACGATAATACAAGATGATTTGTAGTCTCATACATCCAGGCTAGTCAAATGATCAGTTATTGAAATTCAACCCACATATTATTGCTTGTTATCATATTGTCAATTCTTTTTTTTTCTTTTTTTTTTTTTTTCGAAATTTACACAGGGCACACAGCCTAGGCTTCAATAGCTACATCAACATTTCTACATGTGTAAACCTTCTGCAGTGGCAACGTTGTTAATGAATATGAATTGCAACATTTTTGCAAAACCGTAAATCGGCTCTAGAAGGCGCATTTTTGCATCGATTTTCTTCAGGTTTTAATTTTTAAAATCTGGCTGTAATTTCTGATCAGATAGCACTTGAAAAATTACGAAATTCGAAAATTTGTCGCAAACTTTTTTCGATTGAATTTTGCAATTATTTTGAAACTTTTTTGTTTTTGCATCGATTGATCTGAAATTGAAAATGCATAGTCAATAAAGTCAATGATATGATACAGTCAGAGTTTTGACGTCACTTCCGGTTTTGAAGGTGGAATCAATTGAAAGTACAATCTACTTCCAGTCGAATAACTTCCGGTATAAATGAAATAGATCAACTGAATTTATGCAGGTCGTAAGTAAATGCTAATCCAAAAAAACGAAGAATATAAAATCCAGACCGGAAGTGATACTTTGGCCGCCATCTTGATTTTTCTTAAAATCGAAATAAGTCCTTAGGGATAAACTAAATCTGCATAAATTTGGTGTCGATGTAATCTGCTGTCTAATGTTCACAAAACGTTGCGAGCCGATTTTTGAATTTTGCTTTTGCATTTTCGCAACTTCCGGTTAGATTTTTTCAAAGTTTGAAAGCTTATTTCTTGTGACCTTGACCTTTGATGACCTTGACCTTCATAGGGTCAAAGGTCATTGACCTTGGCTATCATTTGATACTTTGACCTTTGACCTCCGACATGTACTTCCGGTTTTATAGCTATCCGTAAAAAGACAAATTCACAACTTTGGACTGCTCTAGCACGTGACCTAATTAACCTAGAGAGTAAATTTTTTCGGTTTCCTAATGTGCTTCTCGTGTACTTTACATAGATATATAACAATCGTTTTTTTAAAGCAAAATTGAAATTCGTGATTTTTTCAAATTTGAGTTTTTTTTTACAATATTTGCGACTTTTTGAGCACGGTGTATGTAGATCTTATGATCTATTTGATGTAGAACCTTGATATTTGGAATATAACTAGACATTTTAAATATGAATTCACCTATGACAAAAAAATTTATGTGGGCGTGGCACATCCGGGTTGAAGTACTAATTGTTTACATTTAGATGCAGGGGCATAACTCGCATAGGATGCGTTTGTTCAAAAAGGGCCTTTGCACACAATTACCTCATCCTTTTGGCCAGTTTGTGTTAACAGCTCAGTTGCTTCAGCTTTATAGTTCCAAAAAAGGAACGGGTTTTTTACACTTAGATATTTTCATTTTTCGATTTTGACCTTTGATGACTTTTGTTGACCTATATCTTTTGACCTGTATGATGTAGAAGCTTGAAATTTGAAACACGACATAACATTTTGAATATCAATTAACCTATGCAAAAAAAAATTGAGGTGGGCGTGGCACATCCGGGTTAAATTACTTATTATTGACATTTTTGGCCAAGGGCATAACTCGCAAAATATACATTTGTTCAAAGTGGAACTTTGCATACAATTATCTCATGTTTTAAGCCACTTTGTCTTAGAAGTTCGGTTGTTTCCGCTTCATAGTTCAGGTTTTGGAAATTCAAAATTTTCAATTTTTGACCTTGACCTTTGTTGACCTTGACCTTTGTAGGATCAAACGTCATTGGCATTGGCTATCTATTTATACTTTTATATTTGCTGTCCTATGTCAACTTCCGGTTTTATAATCGTGTGCAATTAGAAATTTTGATGACGTATATCTCTTGATCTTGACCTTTTTAGACCTTCTCCTTTACAAGATCAAAGGTCATTGACCTTGGCTATCTGCTGATGCTTTCATTTGTGGGGTCTGACGTCTACTTCCGGTATTAGAATCTTCTAAAAAATGGAAATTTCTCAACTTAAGACTGTTCTTGCACATGATCTAATTATCGTGGAGGGTTGATTTTTTCGGGGTCTTTTGCAACTTGATACATTTGCAAAGTCCCACTCTGTGCCACGTGTGGTTCTAGTTATATATTTATTTTGTAATATATTGGCAGAAGTGCCAACAGCAGATATGGATAGCATCTAAACTTGTGGTGAACATGGTATTTTCAGTTCTGTGAAAGTAAGAATAATTAAATGTAAAAGTAGACAATTTTGAAAAAGTTAATCGGACGCAGAATGGTGCTGTCATGTATAACTGAAAACTGAAGAATATGACATACCGTCACATGACAGGAAAATAACATTGTGGCTGATATAGCAGTCTTCAATGACTTTCAATGAAAAAGTTTTAATTCAAGACAATTCAAGAAGTAAGAAAACACCTTTGAGAGTAACTAAAGCATTTTTTTCTATATTTTCCATATCATTTCACCTGATGAAGTCGTCTCAACAAAAATGAAAGTATGTAGAATAAAATACTTTAGTAACCCTTCAAAGGTGTCTTCAATTCTGCCAGATAATTCTTTTGTATTTCAAAGTTACTTATTCTCATCAGTCTAGCAAGTGCTCAAATAATAGCAAACAAATATGTCCGTTATCTTGAATGTTTTAGAGTCTAAAGACCACAAAAACAGGTGTTTATGGGTGTTCTTCCTAATCTTGTTTAGTATTGACTTAAAAGTCACTGAATTCACAAGAGAAAATCTTGTCTCAATGTTTTAAGAAGATTAGGAGATGTTTGTCAAGTCTATTGAACTTGTATTAAAGTTAACATACCAGTACTAATTTTCCTTAAATTCATTCATTTAGCATCATTTTGAATGAAAATAGGAATTTGACAATAGCTTTCAATTGTTAGAATATGACATTTAAGTATGAATTTGACAATCAAAAAGACTGAACTATGTTAAAATATGGTTTTAATCATTGGCTTTGTATATAGAAACCTATATTTGACATCTTGACTTAAAATATCATTTACAAGTGATAATAATTTGAAAATATATTTTTGTTCTGTTGTTTAACGTTTCGGCTAACTGCCTTTTTCAGAAACAATTCATATCTAAAATTATCTGAAGTGTTTCTGAAGAAGGTCGGTCAGCCAAAACGTTAAAACACTCAGAACAATAATATATTTTCAATTGTTTCCCCTTTTATGGGAATTTGTGATATAACTTAATAATAATTTGACATAATTTTAACTTTTAAGTCAAAATTATAACTGAAATCATGGATTTGACATCAGATATGAATTAAAAATATGACTTGTGGCTTGCTATAAAGTATGAATATGTAAATTTAACAAGGATGTGGAGAAACAGGTCATGCTATTTCAGGACAATTTTGATCATAAGTACTTCCATTTCCTAGTTTGAAAAGGAAAATGAAAGCAGGAATTTGATTAATTAACATTGGGTACTAAAGTTATAATTTTTGATCACTTTATGATAATGGTTTGTCAACAAGTCAAGTCCAAAGTAATAATAGTTTGCTTTGGTAGTGAAATATTACCTTTTTTTCCTAAAAAGGTGCTCACTGATTGACTAAAAAAACAATAATACAGTTGTAAATATTGTAAAGGGATTTTGGTCTGTCATTCGTTCAACCGGCTCAAGACTTTTAAAGCTGAAGATGATATTTCAGGTATATGAGATGATCAGATCTTAACTATCTCTATCATTTGGTGTTGAACAATTTCAAACGCACTGGACTCACTGGATAGTAGATTTATCTAAGGAAAATACCTACCTAATTGTTCTTTACAAATATACATTAATTTTTCTAACGACTGGACTTTAGTAGCTACACATCTCTTGTAATAGGGGTCTGTTGAACGTCCAGTTTTAAATGGTTGAAATGACACATCATCTATAAACTCAGTCTGTTCTATTAGTTGAAAGTGATAGTTATTCCCATCATCCAGTTTGGTGACTTCTCCCCAATATAAGAAATGATCATTATTAACCACACGACCAGCAAAGTCACTCTGACTTAACACAGAAATATGTTCTTGTTGATATTTATCAGCAACTTGATATAGAAATCTATTAAGCAAAAACGATTTCCCCACTCCACACTGACCCTTGTCTTTATCTGTTCCGGATGGCCCAATAACGGCCACATTAAATGAACGCCCTTCCGTCTTCTTGGCCATTTTGCCTAAGAATTCAACACCACTTCTTGTATTATTATTTGCTTCATGTTGAAGAGTTCAAATTCTATTTCAGATTAGCAATCACATTTCTATTGTTTATTTCATTGTCCAATAATGAAAGAGATGAAATTATTTGATAAATGAAACGCAAATTTGATTCAAATATTCCATAATTAAACGTTATTCACATGCAATTATCTCATTTGCATGTACCCCTGTCATGTGGATGATGACATACAAACTTTGCCACTAGATGTCACTAGGTACGTCACCTCTCTCTTCTCTTCTTACATGTCGTCTGCTTACCCAACTCACTTCATGACCTCACCTTAAAATATAAACCATACAAATATAAACAATACTAAGTGAATAATCACATCCGAGTATAAAACATTCTGTTATATTTGACTTCAATATTTAAATTTAACAAAACAATTTAATAATGTGGAAATATTTTGAAAAAAAATCAAAATGTTACCAAAAATAACATAGTAATCAGCATCAGCCTACTTAAAGAATGAACCAAACGCCGTCTTCTTACCAGAGCTCAAATCTCAAGAAATTAAACTAGACAAGATTGTAACAAAGAGTTAGCTTCGATAGTCTAATCCAAAAGCTGCTTCACAATATCAAAGAATTTGACAATCCTCTTAATCATATTATTCACTCAATTATGACTTCACACTCATGTAAAATACAACAATTAACAAATTAGTTAAATATTAGTTGATAAGATGAATATGGACGTGAGCCAAGTTCACTTAACAGATGTACAATAATTATACCCCAGTCATTTTCTCAATTAACAATAATATTCTATTTACTCTTTTAATCTGGGTTAAATAACAAATATTTTAGTTATAACACATCGAAGCCTTCACAAGCCTTCACAAAAGCATAAAAACTTGTTTGTTAGAATGGAAGAATTCAAAATTAGTATTTAATCCAATCAAGGTCAAATATACTTTTTGTATACCGGTAAGTATTCAGAGTTATATTACAGTACTCAAGTTGCTTAGTTTATAATCATAAATTTGTTTTTCCAAAATTTCAATATCAAATTTCATTTCACAAAAAAACATAAAACTAAAAATCTCTTCAAACACATAATGTGCAACTTCACCATCATATGCAAAGTATTGTATAAATTCAAATGAATGTATTCTCCAAAAAGTTAGCAAGCTCTAAAACACATAAGTTTATACTGATTATACTTTTTTTTTTTTGACCTAACATGATATTTTATAACATTTTATTTCTGGGCAACATTCTGCACACTTTTCAGTACATTTGTGTGATACTGTTTGCCTTCCACAGTAAGCTTACTAGTAGAACATTTTAAATAGTTAAACCAACCTAAGTCTACACCTACATCGTAATATCAGCCTTGATGACTATGTGTCATTTTGAGGAATTTGCCTCTCCACAGAACTTTTTAAAATCATTGGAACCTTGGCCTACAACATGATATGAAAGTACTGAGATAAACTCATACAGGAAGAAAGAATGTTATTACTCATCATACTAATGAGTACTAAATACCATGATTATTATCTAATTAAAATATTTATATCTTGTCAACTTAATCTACTGGCCAGATTTAAACTTAGATTTATTATCAATAACAAGTTTAGACCATTTTAATGAAACATTTTTTTCTTGTCTGCACAAAATGTGTTAAATTTTTAATAAAGAAAACTACCACTGGTGTCAACACCGATGCTTTGGTACTGTAATAATTTTGTTCCAGAGTTCAAAATCGACATTACTTTATCAATCAACACAAATGATAACAACATATATATACAACAAGCTTGTTTATCTGACAGAGCTCAGTTTCAGAGCTATATGTTTTATTTCTGGAGCTAAAACCTGTCAGCCAGTTTTCCTTTAGAAGATGACATTGTGAATATTGTGATGATGTTTAGACTATTTGGAAGTCATAATATTATTGACAATACTAGTCTATTTCTTGCTTACACACTATGTTATATTACATGTGCAGGAGAATCAAATGAATTTTATGGCTTAATATAAAAAAAAAAACCTTTCTCAAAACCACTGCAACAGCCTAAATGATATGAACTAAACCCTCTTATATTGGCTACTAAACGAAAATTGTTAAACTGACAATTTGAATACATATTTGACTGTAAACCATATGATGTCTGCTACACAGTTCAACTTATTTACTGTACAAAAAACATAGCATAACATGCTTTGCTAAAATTTGATACATTCATAATACATTATTCAAAGTAGTTGAACAAAAAAAAAATGTTATAATGAACATTTTCATAGCATAGGTCTATATCATCTTTTGCAGAAATAAAAAATTACAGGTATATTACATTTTCAAGTAATTGAATGTAACATGGATATGTTCAGTTGGTGAGTAAACTTAGCATTCATTAGAGGCCAAGATTGGCAAGTATTGAGTCTGATACAATCGCATGTATTTTTTTTTCTCCTAGACTGACTTATGAACGAAGTAATATATTTACAATAACATGTCATCTAATCTGTCTAAGAAAATGCCTGACATGAATACAGAGAATAGAGATATATGAAGTCGAAGTGTTAGTAAAAAAAATGGTATGAAATTCTTAATTAAATAGTCTATCTGACAGTCATGACTTGGACCCATCACTATATATGTAATCAACAGAATAAGAAATACAATAAATCAAATGAGGTCTACTGATTTGCTGTAAATAGTTCCATGCTAGATGCATGTTTAGTTTTTGGAATGGTTTCGAAAGAATCTTTATTTTAGCAGGGGAGGGAGAATCACATTCAGAATCACTCAGAATCAGACACTTGTGTCTTGTCTCACAGATTTTACTTTTACACTGCTACAATTGCAAGCAGGTGTAAGAACCAAACAAACCTAACAATTGCACACCTGATATGAATGAACCAAAAGAAGTATTTATTCGAAAAGGTATACATACGACGAAATAATATAAAATTCCGTTACTCTCCAGGCTAGATTTTGTCGGCCATGTTGAATGAGGTTGCATGCTAAATTAGGAAACAACGAAGCCATTACTTTTAGTTTCGAATCGACCTAATTTTTAATTTACAAGATTTAATTTGAAAACAAATTCACATTTGCAAAATAAGGATAACGTATAGTTTTTAGTGACAGACATGTAATGCAGTTACAAATGTATGTAACATTGTAACGCGCACCTGTCAAGATAAAATAAACAGTAGTTACCTCCCTTGAATTATGTGAGAAATGAATTAAAGCTTCCATGTCCTGATAAAATTGATAGCTTTATTTTGATTGAGCATTATTTCATGACGAATGTTTAAAAAACGAGGAGAGAACCTAAATGTAATCTAAATAAACTGCTGATAGATATATTTCTAGGCGTTCATGCAAATGACAGTTTAATTCGACCAGAAAGTTTGCTTCCATAGAGATAGGATATTATTATATATGCATATCCACAAAAAAAATATAGACCCAATCTTGCTTCTTTTTCAGTTCTTGCTTCATTTGCAAAACAGTAAATCAAATGAGATCTCCACGTGCTCTCGTTCTATGCTACCACGGATACACGGATACAAAGCAGTGACAAATATTGATGAATTTTTAAAAATCATTTAGGCCTCCTGAAATTATATAGAGAAGAGATTGATCGAGAGACAATTCTGATGCCGAGAGTCGTACCGGGTGGTGTTTCGAGTTACATGTATTTGTAATCTGAGAGACAGAATGATTTGGTCGTTCTTTAAAGGAATAGTACGTCTTAGAATGAACATAAAATTTAATAATTTTAAACTTGGCCAATAAGACCATAACATATTCATCAGTAGATATACCCAGTGTCATAAATAACATAACAGGATCCTTATATAATCCGATATATCCAAAAAACTTAGTAATTATCCATAAATATGCAATAAACTATTGAAAATCGCTTATTAAGATTAGGCGTTTTTCAATAATTACTTAGTTTTATGAATTTTCCAATTTTACAGATTTTATAGTGATTCTGTTGTAATTTTATGACACCAGGTAAGTTCATGAAATATATACTCATATTGACCATTCTTGAGAACTTAAATTTTATGTTCATTCTAAGACGTAGTATCACTTTAACTTAAAGCTACCATAGCTGCCATCTATTTGAAAAAGAGTGAGGCCGTGTGGATTCCTGACGAAAGTAAGCCTACACTGCATATAGTGTAATCTGATCAGACATTTGTCTATTTGTCATTTCTATCAAATGCTCCACATAGATAGACAAATGTATAGACACGCAATCTAGGCTACGAATAGTCAACCTGACATAGGATAAAAATATATAGCATTGGTTTTCAATCATCGTGCACTACGAATGACAAAATACAAAACATGGCGCAGTAGGGGAAAATGAAATGAAATGAATGGAATTTTAGGTCCTACTTTTCTGCGCCATGTGGGCTAATGAAAACGGGCAACGTCATACAGGGTGTTATCATGGAAATTTTGCCAGGACAGCGGCATTAGCCTGCTCTTTTTCGATTTCCAACTGTCGAGGGATCTTTAACGAGCACACGGGGCTTCGGTTTATTGTCCCATCCGAACGACTAGACACTTTTTTCATGCCAGACCCTCTTACCTGCATCACTGACAGGGGGAAACCGGGTTGAAAAATCCGAAGGTATTATCTCGACCTATGCAGGGAGCAGTAGGGGAAAGGATGGACCTTTATAAAACAGTGACCTTGACCAGTCTTCTATTGAGGAGTATCTTTTATAACACCCAATATTTATTAACTGAACAAATGGACAAGGTGACATAAATATATATTATAAAAATATTACAATAATGTTTAAATCTGTTTAACAAATAAACGATAAATAAAATAAAAGTCAAATAATGAATTAATTTTTAAAAATCTAAAATCTGACCTAGGCTACATGTAAATCAAACTGTTTTATCACAGAAGCAATATTACAGGTAGGCTAGTTATAAATTAACATAACCCAAACATTAACATAATAATGTTATGAAATAATATTGCATAATTGAGTGAACTGCAAACATGGAAGGTAATGTCCAGCAAAACCAAGGTAGTATTTATCAACATATATTCATTCAACAAAGGTGTACAAAAAAACCCAACAAATCCACAACTTTACACAATAACATGTGCGTGATCAGATATGAATTCCAATTATAATATACATAATTTTAGGTTTCGTGGATAACAATATGAATGAAATACATGAAATACATAATGTTGCATAGCCTAATTAAGCTGCTTTTGAAGTAATTGATTATAATGATATGTAACAAAGTTATATTTACAATTATGAGGCCAATAACCAAGATTATGATAATATAATAACAACCAAACACACTTTAAATATTAATGTTCACCCATTCATAAACAATAACAAAATACACACGTACTCACTGCAATAGACTGACTATACACACATACGTTACATTACATGTCAAACACCCAAATAACTCTCATGCTTAATGATGTAATCTTTGATGACGCATTGATAAACCTGATTCATTAATCGTCGCACTCAAGGTTAATATATCGTAACACAGGACTGGGCAATAATAAACATAATTTTGGGAACGATAATGATAATCTGGGGCCTAAATGTTCAAGAAGTGAATTTCTACATAATCGTATGAGTGGGGTGGGGCACTGTCCCGTGGGTATTCGATGGCATTGATCACATTTATACTTGGCATGATGAATGTCGTGTAAGGACTGAACTTTTTGCAATACATCAGTACTTAATTGCCTTTCACATTTGATAAGTTCCAAAACACATAAGAACACATTGTATGAGGGTTTGAACTTTTGAAGGGCTCTGTTTAAAGGAGTTAAACCCTCACAATCTTTGAAGGAAGAATCCGCCCCATATTGTAGGAGAATTCGTGTACATCCGACAAATCCTAATTCTGCCGCAGTATGCAATGCAGTTTTTCCACTTTCCATAAGTTCACATCCTTGGGAATTGAGATAATTTATGCCTGTCTTTTCGGATACTTTTGCACTGTATTGGCAAATCAAAATAACCATTGGTTCATCGTTCAGGCGGACAGCCAGTAAAAGTAATGGACAGCAAAGATTTTTCTGTAACACAGCACCTCCATAACTTTGTAACAAGAAACGTGCATATTCCAAATGACTGTACATTATTGCAAATCTCAAAGCTTCTAACGGTGGATATAAAATTTCATCCTCTTCTGCAAATTCCGTGAAATTTTCGAGTGATTCACTATCATTCACCATTACTCCTAGTCGATAATGTTCTATTTCCTTAACTGACAGATGGCTCCGAACAGCGTTTAAAAACTTAAACATCACCATACTTTAACTGAAAACACGGTATCTTAAAGACAGCCTCCTTTAAAAATGGTCCTTTTAGCCTTCAAAATTCAACTTTTCATTCAATCCTTGCAAATATTCCCAATTTGCCAACGTCAACAGTAAATCATAACAGTAAACTCCTTCAGTCTATTTATAGATCGTAATATATTATTATACCATTGCTGGGATATGTTTAGCTGTGACGTTGCAAGTCTGTGCCCATAAATGACTACCGCATAAGAAACCTTGGCAACCATTCTTGCAGATCGATAAGGTCAAAGTTCATTAATTATCGGAGTTTTGTACACTATAATTTGATATGAAGTGTACATAGTAATGATTTACGTGTCAAAATAGATTAAGCGATAATACCGCCAATCATAGATGGGTAAAGTGACACAGTTATTTTTTACAGTGTAGATCCAGCTTATGTAATTAAAGGGACACGGGCATATAAATTTCGGGATTAGTGATATTGTATCGATTTTTTTTAAGAAAGACATGCTAATATATTCATATATAGAATGTGTATTGATTTGTATCTTTTATAAATTAAAATGATAAGCCTATATCCAGATATTGCCATGAAAAAGTCCCCAGCACTGAAAATCTTAACTTTCATAGAAAACTATGCCACTTCCAGTAAGAACCTTTGCCTTCATTGGTCCATTTCTAATGTCCCATCCAAATTAGGCATCTGATGTCTGTGGTTTCTTTTTTGTCTCTTGGTGGGTTTTGAAAAGTATTTCCCCTGCCTTGACCCTTTCAATAATATGGAGCAATAATAACAGTATTTCATATATCATGTTTTATTTACAGACTTTTTGTATTGTAAATTAAATCACAGCAACAGAGATACAAGAACGAATCCAAGAATACTAAGAACGCAACAATGCCATATAGTCCATGTCTTAATTTCAAATTTCTGAAAATAAGAAGGTATTTGATTTTGTTTTAAATAGGTAACCAATGACTAAATTTTGGCTTTCACCTTCATTTTGCATTACTTAAAACTCTCTTCAGATCCTGGGTGAAATCTCAAGATGCCAATTGTGGGAATCGTTTACTTGGAATCCCAGGTACCACAAATGTACTAGAGGAAGGCTCAGAAACTGTGTAATTCCCTCATTAATGAAAAACTTAATATTTTTAACCTTTACTGGTGCCAGAATTAATACTGAATATCTATTTAGGTTCAAAAAATAAAAAAATGCATTAAACAGAACACACACAAATAAATGTAATAGCAACTTTGGAAAATCAAACTAAATAAATGAAAACAGACAGAAGATCTAAGACAAGGCTATATTGGGTTAAATGGTTATCATGATGATCACCACCAATATACCCAGCCCTTTTAGAACCAAATAGTTTCTTTTAAAAATAAGACACAAAAAAGGGAAAAACTTGAACAAAAAGTCCCACCCACCCATACAAATGAAAAAAACAAGCATCTATCTAAAGCTTATAATAAATAATAAGGATATTATACTGTATTTCATATCTATATACAAATCAATGATAAATACAATATTTATAATACAAATTTTAATATCATTAATTTTCCTATTTGGTGGTCAATGAGGTCAAAGGAAGGTCAGATGGGGTCAGCCGAACAAAAAAAAAACAAATTCACCTATTTGATACGATTTTTTGTCACTTAATTCATCACTGGACATAGCATGTCACCTAAGTACTAAGTAGACATAGCTCAGAATGCTGTCTTATTTATCAGTAGACATAGCTCAGAATATCACCAAATTTATCAGTATAGCTTATACATCTATAGCTCAAAATATCACCTAATTTATCAGTAGGCATACTTCAGAATATCATCTAACTTATCAGTAGAAATAGCTCAGATTATCATCTAATTTATCAGTATAACTAGCTCAGATTATCATCTAATTTATCAGTAGAAATAGCTCAGAATATCACATAATTTATCAGTAGATATAGCTCAGATTATCATCTAATTTATCAGTAGACATAGCTCAGATTATCATCTAATTTATCAGTAGAACTAGCTCAGATTATCATCTAATTTATCAGTAGAACAAGCTCAGATTATCATCTAATTTATCAGTAGAAATAGCCCAGAATATCACATAATTTATCAGTAGATCTAGCTCAGATTATCATCTAATTTATCAGTAGAACTAGCTCAGATTATCATCTAATTTATCAGTAGATATAGCTCAGATTATCATCTAATTTATCAGTAGACATAGCTCAGAATATTATCTAATTTATAAGTAGACATAACTCAGATTATTATCTTATTTATCAGTTGATATAGCTCAGAATATCACCAAATTTATCAGTAGATACAGCTCAGGTTATCATCTAATTTATCAGTAGACATAGCTCAGAGTATCATCCAAATTATCAGAAGAGATAGCTCAGAATATTACCTAATTATCAGTAGACACAGCTTAGATTATCAACTGATTTATCAATAGACATAAAACAGAATGCCACCTAACGCATCAGTGGAAACCTAAGTTTCCTTAAGTCAATTTATTTTTTGAATAGAAAAGAATGTGATTTAAAGTATAACAGTATCAGTAATTGATATCTGTTCAATCAATTTCCTAATCTTAATAATTTCTATTGCTACACTCACACATGCAGTTAAAATCACTCAAATATTATTAATTTTATAAACAAATTGTAATGTAAGAGAATTTGATGAATTTTATAGTTGCACTTGAAACTATATAATGGACAATATGTATTTATGATAAGTGCACAATATCTATACATAATATATACATACATTGATTATGAAACGACAATGAGACAATCATATACATACATTATATAAGACTCAGGGTACTAAAGTGTTGCAGGGTCATGAGTACAGTTTCTGAGAAAAATGGTAAATGGTTAATGGTATGACAGTTAAATGAGAAAGTTACTTATGATTTTTTTAAATTCTGATTTAAGTTAATCATAACAAATAAAAATTCTTTGGAAATTTACCTTTACCAATACCAAACATTATCTTAAATATTTGAGGTGACCACTTCTGCACTCGAGTCATATAAACCTAACTGATTAATTCATAATGTCTCCCTACAGAATAATCTTTCAGTGAAAAGGTGCCCTAAAGTATAAGGGGAATGTCCCAGTTAATTTTGAATTTGTGTTGGAAGGGTTTGCTTTCAGCTTCACTAAAAATAAATTTGATTTTTTTGGTGTATTAACTTTGTATTCCCTATATGCATTAACAAACATTCTTGACCAAATAAACCCAGAAAGTTCAAATACAACCTGAAAACATGATCCTTCCAGATATATAAATACACAATTATTCTGGATATTCCCTTTAAATGAGATCAATGATATAAAGTTCCCAAAGCCTGAAATATGGACGCAATACAAAATACTAGATGAGATAATAGTTTAAATATTTGCTTTGTTAGGTGATAGAGCTCAATTTCAAGAATCATTCACTGAAAATTCAGCAAAAATGAAAGTGAATGTAGATAATAAAATGAAATTAATTCTAAGCCATACATAAATTCCATCCCAAGCAAATATTGATGATTGGATGATATCAGCAATAAAAGCCCAAGAAAATGTTGATTCTACCCATAGAGACAACAGTCAACTTTACAAACTTTTGGCATTTTGTAAAAGCTATTAGATTTATAGTCTGAGAAAGTCTATTGATAGCTGAAAATGAGCTCTATTATCATAGCAAATATTAGAGGACTATATCCCTTTCATATTTCAAAGTTCTAAATTAAATCCAAATTTATGTAATGAATATTGATGAAGATTAAAATGAATATGGGTCCAACCGGGGCGTATATTTATTGTAAGGGCCTCCTCGTAACTATTAGGCTGCACATCTCTATCATTTGTCGTATAAAACATTGTATGGAAGAGTGAGATTATATTGTGTTTCCAGAGCCTGGATCCATGTATTGTAAAAAGTTTTCCATAGAAACGTAATTTCTAATGATGTCCACGAGAGAACAAGAAAATTAATTCCTTCTCAAATTTTACATGTAGCAAGCATATATAAAAGGCATCACTCTTTTGAAGACTAACATGTGGCCTACAATAGAATTTGGTATTCCCAAAATTTATAGTAATGGGCCATCTATGCAGCAGTTTTATTGCAGGTTCCTACTAAGAGGTTTGAAGCATCTTAACAACCAAACTTGAGTTATTTTGACATTTCAATTCCCCATGAAAAGGGTAGTGTATCAATGATATAAGATGAAATTTTGGTTCAAATGTTGAGTCAATTCAGCCCTATTCTGTGACACCAAACAGTGCTTTGCTGCAGATTCCTTTATAGCCTTATGTTGATTATGTTTCTTTAGCAGCAATGTAACACATTTATCACATCTAACCATTGCTTGCACAACCTGATATTCTCCGTCATTAATTTTGATTTGTCCACAATTTATTTCTCTACCAATTAGATTCTTTCCAGCAAATCATGCAGGGAAAATGATTTTCAGAAGCAAATTCTCTTTGTTATATGAGTCTCAAAGTTTAAGTATGTTGAGAGGAGCTGGTTTTGACATTACGGTCAAATATTGCTTTGGCAACGGTGAGATGTGATAAACCTCATACACCATTGCTAAGGGAACATGTATTAAATATATATAGATTGTGAAAATCTCTGGCCTTATTTCAATTTAAATTACACTCTTTATAATACAATTGAGATAGATTAATTAACAAATGAAATCCAAATTTACATCAATACATAATAATAGACTGATAACCTGTTACAGCAACATAAACACCCCATATGGTCTAAATGAACTCTTCTAGACACACCTAATTTTATTTTATCAAAAAGCATATGTGGAAGATCTCAAATGGGTGTGGGGAGTGCCAAGTTACCAGTTACACAAAACCTGTCTCAAATAAGTAATGGGAAATGTATTGCTCATAAAAAGAAACTGAATTTCAACCAATGTTTATAGAGGTTAATTTACTGGCAAACAATTTCAGAATCTTATATTATATGTTGATGAAATTTGAAAGTCACTTTCACTCACTATGACCTATATCACTTTATCTTTCACAAACTGAAATTGTCACATTAATGCCCAGATTCCCATGATCTGCAAACAACTGGGCAATATTGGTGTCAAACACAAGACAATCACTACTTAATATTGCTGACTGTATTCCATCATGAATACTTCTTGGCGTAGCTTCCCATGTCAACCTTCTTCGATGTCCATTTAATTCTAACCTGAAATATAAAATTAATAATCTTTAGATCATCAGAACTTTTCATCACTTCTTTGGGTTAGATGCACATAGGGACAGTTAATCCACACAAAATCCATGCAAAGTGGGTTTATTTGTTAATATCTCTCTCTGCAATTTATTAATGATGATAAGGGTTGAAAGTCCACATTAGGCCAACTTAAATGTACTGATTGTAGCATCAGCACTTTTTACCTTTTTTAGGAGGATTTGAAGCTATTGTACCAAATTGCAAAGCAGACAACAATCTAACTGGCTACCGATTTAGCTATTCTGCTATTTCACATAATGGTGTTATATCTATGCACTATCTAAGACAATATTCAATATCGGAAATTATGTTAAAATAAACTGCCATTTTTTATTAAGTACTTTGACCATCAGTGGACAGACAATATTAATGTTTGAAACTTCCAATATAATGTCTCAAAAATTGTTTGTTGAGGTTCATACAAGAGTTAAGAACTTAATCAAAGAATACCTATAGGCAAAGTTTTCTGCTTGTTTCCGAGTACCAATTAATTGTACAATAGCATAAAATAATTGAAGACCATCTATTTTTTCTTGTTTTTCTAAAACTAACATAAAGTTGTGACCAAAGCAGGACTGCATCATAACCCAGTCTACTGCACCAGGCAAATTAATATCTGTAGCTAAAAATACTATATCTTCTCCTAAAATAAATATATAATCAATAGGTACAATGATATATATTCTCATAAATCATAGTCTAACAATAGAACACCTGATTCACACAAAACTTCAATAATATTATTACTTAAAGGGATTGTTAACATAGACTTTCATTTTTATGTAACATGGTACATTTAGTAATTACTACTTAAAGGGCTCATTTATATAGACATTAAAGGGACAGTTCTGCCATTTTTCGGGGATTCCTTTTAGTCTTGAATAGATGTAAATGGTCTTCAGAAGTACTAGAAATGTAAGAAAATCACATAATTCCTTTAAATTTACTTCAAACTAGGAATTTTACTCACTATTTCTATATATGTATTTTTTATATATAACAGAGTATCTTAAATTGGCGAGTTGTCATTTTAACATTCAAACACAGATAATTCTGAACACACATGTACTAGAAGGCTCAAATTTCAAAGGTGAGCTGTGAACATTATTACTGATTAGCTCAGCTAAAAAGTTTTAGTTTCTGAGACTTAAGTATGATTGGTCATAAAAATGGTTTACCTGCCCCTTTAAAGCCCTTTTATGTTCATATATATGGAAGACACATAGCTTCGACTGATTTCAGCTCTCAGGGGTTTGGAATAGATATTCTACCCCTAGTCCTAGAGATTGCAGGTCACTATTTCATTATAATAGTTTGATTCTTGCTCAATAGTTTATTTCTTCAATGATTCGGATATTGGTCTGATATATCAAAGGTTAATTAGAATATTGGATGCTTAAAGAAGAAATGATTAGAAAGGATTTGCATGCCATATAATATATAATAACTTTATATGCTCATATATTTGAACATGATCTATCACATCAAGGTTTATGTTTGTGAAAAAAAAAAACAATTAATTTGTCCAGATCTTACCTTGTAAAGTAGTGATAGATTTGTGTATTTGTAATAAATGTGGCATCACTTGTTCTAATGAACCTTGCCATTTACAAGAGGCACCAGGACATGGACAACAATAAGGTCTGAAACGATAAAAGACTCTTTAACAGAATGAAAGAATGACTATATGCAAAGGTTTTATTCCATCTCTGCTGATTATATAATACATTGTTATTCAAAACAAGCACAATAATTCCAAGATTTCAAATAAAGACATTATATAACTTTTATAAGCCTATAGTCAACTTAACAAGAGTGAAATTATAACAATGGTCAATATCGTAGTGCTATCTACTAGCCAGGTGGATTACTGTAAAATTATGTTACCAGTTATTGACCAGTTTGACATTTCACGTCTGAATTGAAAACACATACCTGAATTCACATGTTTCTTCATGTTCTGTTTTTTCTGTATGAAGTAATGTGTTTTGACAGCCATTATTTGAGTATTTACAGGGGAACATCACAGTTGAAGCTACTTTTTCCATTGCCAAATTTCGTATATTTCCTGACAAATATTATAAAATTATACTTCAATATTCCTATAGCGCTCTACAAATTTATTTATTGAGCACTATTTTAATAGTGAAAATATATTCATTGGATTTTGATATTGTCAAAATTACAGTTATGGGGTTTTAAATTAATATTCTTACTACATATATAGAATGCTGTATTTCTTTTCATAGTGTCAAAGAGCAAGAAAGTTAATTCTATGAAATATCAATCCAAACTTGTACATTGATGCTAGATCTCCTCTTTCTCAAAAATTTTAACTATAAACTTTCCTAGCAAGTGCGGAACTTTATTTGCAGAAATGATGACTTCAAATCCAACATTAAGAATCTGTGCATAAGTTTAACACATCTGTTAATAAGATTAAGTTCTTACCTAATTCTCCCCGACACGTAGGACACATACGTAATTTTTGACGACATGTCTGACAAACTATATGACCACTTTGGCATTGCATTATCGGTGGAAGTGCATAATCAAAACATACTGGACATTCAAACAGGCTTGCTAAATCTGGATTGCTTGTGTTTGCCAAGGCTACAGCTGAAATAAAATAAACCACAATATTTACATTAATCTTATATATTATTCTAGATATAATCTTCGTAATTCATAATTGACTAAAAATATGATAAAGTTTGGTTTAATTCCCATCATTGCATTATATGACATACAATGATTAGCAATATTACACTATAGTCAATATCTATATAATCTGGTATGTCGACAAACTCTTCATAATTTCAACATCATCAGAAATTCCTAGGCATATAAATTCATAGAAAATTATTTTTCTTTTTCTTCCCATGTGAAAATGAAATTCCCTTTCATAAAGTCTTGGCCTTCAAATAACCTTTGACATTTTTTAACTTACCATTTGGAGGCAAAGCTCTCCTAGCTTTTGCCCCCATTGGCACCTGTCCACTCATTTTCTCTGTTGAATCTGAAAAAAAAATGTTATGGTTAAAATATCGCTGAAATACTGTCAATCATGAATTACACACCTGCATTAGGTAAGCTATAAGATTATTGTTTAAAACTAGTTGTCACCAATATTCATTATGAATTAGAAAGTAAAAGATTCATTAAGGAACATAAACTCATTGTATCAGGAATACAGGATTTGACATGATCTTATCAACCTGTATTGAACTAAGCCCACTACTACATTTTGGGGGTGTGGAAATGAGATTGGTGGCATTTAAATCTGACCAATCAGATTAGTAAAACAGAAATTAGGTCATGTAAAGAAAACTCAACACCACTTTGCCGTCGCCCGAAGAGATTAAGACACATTCTTTCCAAGTAAGTATTTCAAAGTAAGGTTTGATTTTCTCTCGGCTTTAATTCTTTAACGAAAATCAAAATATGTAACAGCACGCTGCTTTCGTTTTGTTTACGTTTGCAAACAGAGCTTAATAACAAGTGATTTGTTTTGATTGGCTGAAATACTGTATGTAGTGCTAATTTTGATTGGACAATATTCAGCTATGAATACATAATTTTTCTCACTTGTGTTACCACGGTCCTGAGGAAGTATGACGAATGGAGGTGTGGTTTGGACACGATGGACTCAAGCCTATTGACAATAAATATTATCTTCTGCTATAAATGGAAATTATAAGGTAGTAAAAGAAAATATTTGAAAATAAGGTACGGTAATACACACTGTAAGCTTATCTCTTGTATCATATTGTTGCATGATTGGCAATACCCAGCACTAAAGACAACAGAGTCGTATAATATCAATTTTCAGGAAAGACTAGTCAAATCTTTCGAGTAATCTTAGTTACAGAACCATGGATGTCAAAAGGTGATTTGCAAAGAAATAATAATATTTTTCTTAATGCACCATATAAAATTTCCTTAATTGTAACTGTGAACAATTTAAATATGCTTGGATTTCAAGGGATAAAATTAAATTTCTTATGTCAGCTTATTGAAATGTCTCTCAATTGAAAATATTTGCAAGAACTATTAATAACTCAACTAGCTTTAAATTTTAATCCAAAGTTTTGAAACCATTAATTAAGTTTATTATAGGCCCAAGTCATTTCAAGAGCAAAACATATCGATCTCATGACAATTAAAAAGCTTTTGAATGTGTGAGATAAAATGTAAAACAGGCAAAATACAGACACCACTCTGTACAATAAAGATCTAAATGTAAAAGGACATCACAAAATATCATTGACAATTAGAGGCCTCATAAATGTTAATAGTGCAAAAGCAGTTCTTTATGATTGAAAGCAGTCAATAGAATAAGTAGGGTATTTCAAGAATAATCAACTATCATTACAAAACAAAAGTTATGTGTATTTCAGAACCGTAACTAGGTTATCCTTATTATTTTGCTCGTCAATAAATAATATGAATGAGTGGACTAGGAAGGAAGAAAATGGCGGATATGTTTATACTGATATTTCTTGATTAATTTGAGTCGATATCAGTCTTTCCTTTTTCATTTCGCACCATATCAATTTGTACAATATATAGACCATACAATAAAATTCTTGATTCAGCCAGTTCCTACTTCCTAAAACATTCTTATATCATAGTCAAATCATTTACAAACCTTGAACTCGATCTTTATTTTTGTTTTCTTTTCAAGGACCAAATACTTTTGTGTATTTCCTCACAACTCCATGAGTAGAGTCTCATAACGGGATATGGAACTGAAATAATTTAGGGGTGCTGGTCTTATTCCGTACCATCATCTTCAACATGTGCCATTTCTGATATAAAATTGTTTTATTTTTTATTATTATTTTCAACCTTCATAGGTGTGACATGTGTATCTTACCATGGTTATCCTTGACCCCCCCCCCCCCCCCTCCTCTACTTTCTACGTGGTTTTCATATTTCCTAGAATATTGCTCTGCTTGTCAATAGGACGTTATCTGCAATGTTCTTGCCTATATCTCTGCAAAAGGAAAATCATCAAAATCAAATACCAGTGCAAACAAGTTTTTAATTTGCATTGTTAGCGATGTATAAGTATTTATAATCTTTTCTGGATGGTTGGTGACTGGTGTATGTGACAAAATGATGGGTGTTTGGGGTGGTTGGTGTTGGGATGTAAATTGACTGCGAGATACTTTATATATATATATATATATATATATATATATATATTTATATATATATATATAAATATATATATATACATATGTTTTTAATGTATTTAATATCATGTTTCTAGGCTAAGAGTACTCTAAAAAAAAAAACAGGCATGCTGTTATTGAATTGAATCTCCAGCACACTATTCAAGGCATTCCCCTTAAAAAAAATGATCAATTGAAATGTTCCATTATCTATTTTATCACACGATTCTTAATTTATCTGAAAGTAAAACAAAAGGCAACGAACAAAATAAAAAAAATGGAATATTGATACGATAGATACAAAACAGTTTTTACATTAACAGAATAGGTCAGGTATACCCTATAAAATTTGTATGCATAATAAATAAATATACTGGGTGTCTTTTTCTCGATTTTCTTTCTTCCACAATATACAATTGAAATACATGAAATTTTTTGTGCTTCGCATTATGACTCCTTTATAAATCTGTAAGCATACGTATATACATAGAATAGACTGTTACATAGACTGTTACAGTTCTATGGTATAATTTATATGCCTTTATTGAATCCGAATCTACATTTTAGACGATACTTGAGTAAAAGGTGAAGGTTGTTAAATTTACCGTCATTTCCGGCTAAGATTTTTACTTGACGCCATCTTGTAAGTCACGCTTTGTCTGGAATTTGCGTGAGGATACTTATTCTTCACAACGTTTAGATGCAACGATTTTAAAATGGCACACTTTGTTTATCCGGTGGCAAATACAGCCCAGCCAGCATCTGGCTACCCGACGGCTCAAACTGCATACGTAGCTGCACCACAAGCTGCTTATGCGACCGCTCCTCGGGCCGGCCAAGCATACGAAACAGCATACCAAGCAGCCCACACGCCACAGTATGCTTACACCACCAGGACTCCAGTAGCTGTTACTCCAGCAGTTGCCTATGATCAGACGAAAGCCTACTACCAACCAAGCCAAGCTGTTGCAACATACACTACACCCGAAACGCATTATCAAGCTGCCAAGCCTGCCTACAGTACAAGCTCAACATACAATGCAAGTGCCATCAGACATCAAGCAGCTGCTAAGCCTCAAACTGTTCAGGTTACATCAGCCAGTGGTTCATATGTTTATCCTGCATCTACAAGTCAAGCCACAACTACCTATTCTGGCTCTTCATCTTATAACAATTCGACCAGTTATGATGCTGCACTCTATACAGCTGCAACCAGTTATTACCAACAACAACAAACGTCTAAAACAACATCCAATTGGGCACTCAAAAAACAAAGTCAAAGCAAATTTACAAAAGCAAAGGGCCCACCTAAACAGCCTCAGCTTCATTATTGTGATGTTTGTAAAATCAGCTGTGCTGGCCCACAAACGTACAGAGAGCATTTAGAGGGCCAGAAACACAAGAAGAAGGAGAGTGCTGCTAAGGCTGGGGCTGCTCCAGCATCAACACGTTCACATAATCAATTGAGATGTGAACTTTGTGATGTTACCTGCACCGGAACTGATGCTTATGCTGCTCATATTCGTGGAACCAAACATCAGAAGGTGTTGAAATTGCACACTAGACTGGGGAAGCCAATTCCTTCTACCGACCCAGTTGTTATAACAAGCAATTCTTCGTCAGCAGTTACTTCTAAGCTTTCAATGTCAACTGCAAGTCAACCTACCAAAGCACCTGTTGGTAAAGTTGTTACATCTACAACACAAGGAACCAAAAAGGTTCTTGCTACACCAAAGATAACATTTGTTGGTGGAACTCAGCTGAAAACAACTGGTGTAAAGACTGAAGAAATCAAAGTTGAAAACAAGACAGAGACTGCTGAAGCAACCAAACCAATGGAAGATGAATTGAACATTCTTGGTGAAAAAGAGGTTGCTCCTGTTGGACATGAATACATTGAAGAAATGAAGAATGAACTTGGTAAAGTAGTCAGTTTCAACTGCAAGCTTTGTGAATGTAAATTCAATGATCCAAACGCCAAAGAAATGCATTTAAAGGGAAGAAGACATCGTCTGCAATACAAGAAAAAAGTTGATCCTAATCTTCAAGTTGAAGTTAAGCCAAGTATTCGAGCTAGAAAAGTACAGGAAGATAGAATGCATCGTCCATCATTTAAAGATGAAATGTGGAGAAGACAACAAGAAGAAAGATGGAGAGGTGAAATGGAAGAAGACATGTACTGGCATAGACACTTTGATATGGAATTCCATGGACCAAGACGACCAGGAATGATGCCTCCAAGACCATTTATGGCTGGTCCTGGAATGGGGATGGGTATGGGAATGCCACTGAGGAGACCAGATTCTGGTGACGACAGGAGAGTAATGGCCAAGCATGCAACTGTATATCCAACAGAAGCTGAACTACAAGCAGTACAAAACATTGTCACTACCTGTGAGAAAGCTTTAAAGCAAGTTTCTGATCTATTAGCTGAAAGCGATGCCCCAAAAACTGAAGTTGAAGTAAAGAAGGAGAAAGAACCAGTCAAAGATGACAAGGATAATGAAAATGATGAAAGTCAGTCTCACAGAACACTGAAGGGAGTCATGAGGGTGGGAGTTTTGGCTAAGGGCCTCCTGCTTCATGGTGATTTGAATGTAAACTTGGTAGTTTTGTGTTCTGAAAAGCCAACTAGAACTTTACTGGAGAGAGTAGCTGATGGTTTGGCAAAACAGCTGGCAGCCTTACCCGACAATAAATTAGAGGTGAAGCGATGTGTCGAGGAAGCAGCAATTATTGTTACAAGTGACGAAGAACCAAAAACAACATGTACCATCACATTATCATCACCAGTAATGAGAGATGCTAATCTGGCTGAGGGAGAAACAGCACCACTAGTGAAGGATCCACCAGATGTACTGGACAAAAATAAATGTTTAGCAGCCCTTGCAGCATTGAGACATGCTAAATGGTTTCAAGCCAGAGCTAATGGCTTACCCTCTTGTGTAATAGTCATCAGAATTATGCGAGATCTTTGTCAGCGAGTACCTACATGGACACCATTGGGTGAATGGGCTCTTGAACTGCTAGTAGAGAAATGTATCAGCAGTAGTGGACAGGTATTGAGTCCTGGAGATGGATTACGACGAGTATTTGAATGTATTGCATCAGGGATCTTGTTACCTGGTGGACCAGGATTATGTGATCCCTGTGAGAAAGAGCCCACTGATGCGGCTGGATCACTCATAAACCAACAGCGAGAGGAAATCACTGCCTCAGCTCAGCATGCCTTGAGATTAATAGCTTTTAGACAGATCCACAAAGTTCTTGGTATGGACCCTGCTCCTCTACCCAAGTTCAATAAACAGAGATTCAATCCTAGAAAGCGACGAAGAGCCAACAGTGCCAGTGGTGAAGTTGATGCAGAAGTTGGTGAAAAGAAAGATAAGAAGGAAGGTGAAGAATCTATGGAGACCACTGGTCAAGCGTAATGTAAATAACTAATCAAAGAGCTTTTTTTCAGGCTATAATTATATCTCATTTTTATCATTACTGAATCAAATATCAAATTCTGACCTGTTAAATCACAATTCCGTACAATTTTTCAATTATTAGATTGACACTTATTGCAAAATGTATGAATGTTGGGTTACAAATATTGAAAGCACTTGAAGTAATTTCTCTAATTCTGAGTACTGTACTCTGTTCACTTGTCTACTTGTCAGAATTTAGTGTTTCATGCAGTAATGATTTTAATATCAATCATTTTTGTGTTTGATTTATATGTTGAATTTGGTTTATTTCATGAGCGAATTTTCTAAATTGTGTACAGAACTACGAGTACGCTTGATATGTATGTGATCTGATTTTTACATGGGAATGGACAACTAATTTTGAATTGAAAGATTTGAAAAAGTGCTTTTAATTTTGTTGTGTACATATTTTAGTCCAAACATGAAAATGATTCTGTGCAGATGAGTGGGATTATTTGCGAAATAGATCGAAAGAAAAAGCTGTGACTTGATATAATTTTGTCCTGTATTGCCATACTATTATAGTTGTAGTCTCGTAATTTTATCACTTATATCAAATTATTCGATGGTCAAAGTTATAAAATGGTTTTCAACCTAACAGATTTTTTCTTTCGCTTTATGAATATTTTACATTTTCATTTTTATATATTAGATTAAGAATGGGTTGCAAAAATATGATAATGTAGACAAGTGATATATCTGAACTAGTGTACATTAATCTTTTTGCAGTCCAATTTTTCTTAATCATTGGATTTTTGTTCGCATTATGGTGAAGATAGAATCAACTTTTGCAAACATAGTGACGGCCTGCACAGCGTCATTCTGCTTGGATAAATACTCTCTTTGATGCTATTTTCCCATGGTAATTGGGTAGCATAGTTGGCATTAAGATGTCATATTTATGGGGGGATATGCATGGAAGCCCAAGCGTTTTTTATGGTACAAAAATCCACTGATCAAATGGTGCAGCCTTTTCAAATGAAATTTCAAGTAAATGTTTGATATGGCTGAAACCAGACATGCTTGTACTAGAAAAATAAACCTCTATCTCTATTCAACTTTCATTATTAAAGGAACTGTCCCAGATAGGGTTTTCAAAAGCATTTCTTTTATGTGCTAATGTATTGAAATTACAAGAAACTTTATTTGGTCTTCAATTTTTACACACCATTATGTGTATAAGACTGCCGATTTTTAGTAATAATTAGTGTTATATCTTTTATTTGGGATGTTTCCTTTATGTAATGATTCAACATAAAATATCCATCTGAAATCTTGCCCACTGGAACTGAATCCATGCAGAAATAGTGTGCAATTTCATTCTATTTCACACAGAAAGAAAGTGCTACATACACATATGAGCTAAGGTTATCTACTGAATAGGGTTGCTCCTCTTCACTCAAATTCAAAATTATAATAAAATGATACCTCACAAAATATTTATTCCGCTAATATTTTAAACCATTGGCATTTGTGATGACAAAATGTTGAAAACTCGAACCTCATGTCATGTGATCAGTTATAACTTTCAATCTAACAGGAAAGCTGATAATGCAATGTTCAGATAGGATTGGTTCATTTTCTCAAATTGACAGTTTCAATTGGACTAAAATTTCTTCAAAATTGGAATGTTCTAAGTTAAATTTCACATATAAAGCTTTTCATATCATCAAAACGGGTCATAACAATTGTAAAATTTGCAAATGATATGATTGTCTTGTTTGAAAGCTGAAAAGTTTTGCATATGAAATCTCAACTGCATAAATAGGGTTGTGGAAACTAGCTCTGGGAATTTGAGTAGTTTGTGCAGCCCTGTTTATGTTTTTAGCAATCATTGAATAACTCTCAGATGTTGACTTGCTTCAAGTGCAGAAAAGAATCAACAAGTGCATTAAAATATGGAAAGGGAAAATGAAATGGTACAGAAAGCAAAAATATCTTTCTAGTATTTTTCTTTTTGGCTTACTCCTATACAAAACATAAAAGATTAACCTCAATTAAATTGGATTCAGCAATTAGAATTTTTCATACACTTAAATAGTTCCTATCCTGAAAGATGATGCCAACACATACCTATACTCTTTGAATCTGGCTGGTGGTTACAGAGGTGCCACTTTACTAATGTTCAAGGAGTTGGAATAGAGTTCTTTAGTAGTAAAATTGGATTTGATTGCGTGTATGATTATCTATAAAGAAAAACAGAGTTTAACATATATATCATCATACACACACAAAGTTTTCTAGATTTTATTGGTCAAGAGGACTATTCAGTTTCATGTATAATGTTCCAAATAATTATATCACAGGTTGATACCCTGTTTTGATGCTGAGTGAAAACTACCTTATACAATCTCTACAAAACCCTCTTCCATCCCTTGTATAACAACTCTTTAGGGCTGAAATAATAACAGCTTACAAACAATATTCAATTCAATCATTAATTCAGCCCTGAATTATGGTTTAAAAAAACTTCTCTCTTCCAAGTAGCATTTATAGTATGCCCATGCAGATAATATTTTATGTATCAAATACTGCTAAAAGTACCAATATAAACTCTGCAGAAAATTATTTGGTATATTGCTCAAGTCAGACATAAAATACAAACAAAACCAGAAATTTATCAGGTTTTTGGAAGACAGAAAATTTTTAATTGTGTGAAATGATCTGCTAACAGATTGTACTAACTGTGATATATTGGAAACCTCAACACAAGGTTGCTCTTCCCATGAAGTGTTACCTAGCAACCTTTTGTTCTGGCCAGATACCTAATCATCAAAACTTCTGGTAACATGATTCTGAGACCAGAACTTTTGAAAGTATATGTACATATTTCTACATTTATAAGAAAGAAAAAAAAATATGTATTCCAATGCTTTTGCATTATGACGAATCTGAATATATTCCTTCTTATATTTGAAAAAAATTGCAAAGTTTTCAGTGAGTATTAATCAGGAAACCTAGGAAAGAAGAAAAGAACTTCTGCCTGAAGACCTTGTATTTGATCATCTGTAAAAAAAAAAAAATGAATTTTATTTTACCAAATATAGTTTCCAGAGAGAAAATAAACTAGAAAAGAGCTCTTGCCTGAACAACTTGATTTGATCATCTGTTAAAAAAAAAAAAAAAAAAAATCCTCAACTGATTTCTATTTTTACCAAATATAGTTTCCAGAGAGAAAATAAACTAGATTAGTGAAAGGAAATCAGACCATCTTTAATTCTTCAACTCAGTAAGTATTTGTTAGAATTCCACCATGTTACCATGTAATGAATTAATGATAACATTATTGCTGAGCTGTCTCATTATTAAAGATTAGGATAGTTGAAAGAAAACATATTGTTATTCAATGGAAGGCACTGGCTCTTGCGTGTTTATCTTTTTTGACTTTCTTTTTAGCATTTTCTGGTATGGATGGAGCCTTCTGCTGGATTTATTAAAAGGTGAGAAAACTGCTTCTTGAGGAGCTTGGCATCTCTAGAGGCAAGTAGAGATTTCCAAATTGTAGAGAAATATTGTCTTGGCTGTACTTTGCATTGCTTTTTATCTTAAAAAAGACAAAAATATTATGCTAATAAATTCATTTCTATTGTAGCTGGAGCAAAAAGGTAAGTAAAATAGAATTGACCAGAAGACCAGCTTGAACATAGAATGCATTTTTAAGGTGGTGGACTTCTTCTAATTTGCAAATTGAAGCGTAGAGTATAGACGAGTACAAAATGTTGCCATTGGAGTGAGTGGTTTAACCCAAATAACTTTGGTAGAGGTTTGCCATGAGAATTGTCTATGGAAAATATTGTATTTTAATGAATTATTGTATCCTCTCTATTTATTATATATCTATGCAGTTATTGAAATAAAATTATTTTCACATGTATGTCTTTTATTGCACCATTCTAGCTGGTGGTGATAGGAGAATTGCTGAAACAATATACATAAGTGGATAAAGCAAACAGATGTATTAGATAATGGAGACATTTTAGCTACATAGTCTATGTCTTTTATCATTGAAAAATTAACTTCTTACAAGTAACTTTATAGATTGTCATTCTTAATTAAATAAGATATGTTTATAGAACTGTGTACTTCCTATGCCTATGCAGTGCAGGCCCGTAACTAGGGGGCCCAGGAGTAGTGGTACTGGTGACCCCCTGGAATTAGATTTACCCTCCCCCCTCCTTGCAAAATTCGAACTAATTCTCAAAGCTGAAAGCAGTCTCTATCAGCTTTTGTCTCCCATGTAAATACGGCTGCCCCACTTGGCACATTGAGCTGGTTACAGTGCCGACCGATGGGTAAGAAAGATAAATATTCCTTTTTGCCAGTTTTCAATCTTATTTGCTTGCCATTCCTTGCATTGCTATCCATTAGCCTAATAATGTAATATTAGATTTGTCGTTTTGCGTTCGGTCGACGAACCTAAATTAAATTTCTAGAAGCCAGAGACGTAAGTCGAAATTATGTGCTGACGTGTAGCCCCACAATACAAGGACGATTATCAAGAACTTGCAATAGCCTTTATTAAGTTTAAGCCGAGACATCCTTTCAAATTGGCACCGGAAGCAGTACTTGTTCATTTTCATAAGTTCAAGGTCACACAATTTCCAAACATCCGGTTTTCATCCGCTTTATCGAATATTGGAGAAAACTGGATCCTTTTAGTTGAAAAAAAGTCATATTGAAGTACTTAATACTACTACAAAACTTTATACGGCTTAGAATCAGTTCATTATGTCAACTTCAACATCAATAGAGCCAGAAGTGGATCACGGGAATTCGAAAAAGACTGAAGTTGTGAACAAATTTCGAGAATTTCAATCTGATCTTGATGGTAAACATGACAAACATGAGAGACTCGTCAAAATAAGTAGAGATGTGACAATTGAAAGTAAAAGAATCATATTCTTATTGCACAGATATCGTGAAGGTATGAGCGACACTGAGAAAAATAAGATTTTGGAGGAAGGAAACCAGAAAATGAAATTGATTCAAGAGAATAAATTCCATCTCATGGCAATTGAATTAAAAAATGAGGACCCTAATCAGTTCATGAGAGCTGTATCTCCAGGGTTACAAGAATATCTAGAGGCCCTATCATTCTATCATTATTTAGAAAAGGGATTGTTAATAAGTTTAAATGAAGTACAGAATCAGTTTGTGTTTAATTCATCAGAAAAGTTGGAATCGGCCACATTTAAAGTTCCTGCCGAGGAATACTTGCTAGGCATTGCTGATTTGTCTGGCGAATTGATGCGTTTGGCTATTAACAATATTACTGCTGGAAAATTTGACTTGTCTTTTAAAGTGTGTGAGTTTCTACAGGTTCTACTGTCTAGTTTTAGTTTGTTTGGTAACACAATCAAAGAACTGAACAGAAAAATGACAACTCTTCAGCAAAGCTTACGGAAAGTTGAGAATGCCTGTTACACATTACGTGTACGAGGATGTGAAATTCCAACCCATATTTTAGCTGATGTTATTGCTGGAAGTGGTAAAATATCAGAACAGATTGAATAGTTGTTTACCAGTAATTTTGAAGAGTTTGAATTTGTCTCAACATAGATGTACCATTACATTCAACCCATTTTCCATGAATACGTATCGGATGAGTCTCGAGTTCTATATAATACAAGGATAGGAAAATAATTGGTAATGTAGCCAATTAAGGTCTAAAATGTTGTCTACATCTAGGTTAAAATGATAAAAAAAAAATCCATTTTTAGTTCTTTTTATCTAACCAAACTGATAAAAAGTAAGGGATGTAACTCTGTTGGTAACAGGGATATAACTTATCAGGCCTTTATAGGGGACACAATCTTTCATATCAGAAGGAATGTATTTCTCATCTTCATAAGGTGGACGGACATAGTCTTTAAAGCTTTTGATCAAAGGGGAAATAAATGAATGGACTAAGCAAAACAACACCTTGTATCATTATCAACATTTTAATTTTTGATACAAAATACCTATATAAATGGCATATACATGAGCTACGTAACGCTGAATAATCTATTTACGTAGCAGTTAATAATACACTGTAATAAAACACAGCAATAATATGTCAACAATAATTTAACCCTTTCAATACAATATTGTATACCCATTACAATGAGATTTTAACAGTTTTGAGAAATGGATTATTTACTGGTCTTAAGGGTTAATAAAAATCACATGTAATAATTATTTTATCAAGAGATCCTTCTGCGAATGGTTTTTAAGGACTGTTAGATGTTGGTGCAAATGATCATTTTTTAGAATAAGTTAAGTTTGTTTTCAAAACAAAGAAACTTCCTAATCCCACTGAAGCAAAAACAAATCACAATAGCACACAGAAGCTACAGAATTTCATTTTTGCAAATTTCATACATATTGTACAAAATGCATAGAATAGGTGCTCAGGACTTTGAATACAAAACCTTTGCATGAGTGTCTGTACACATGTTGAATAAAGGATTTCAAAATACTCATCAGAGACAACTCTCGTCTCTCGTCCTTTTGAAATAACATGAAAATTTTGACTTTTACATTTTGAGTGAATGTCTTATGGCACTACAAAACCGATAGTCCATAAATGGACAATTATTGAAGATATTACATAAGAGGTTGACTTCTATAGCAAAAAATCACCAGAATACTTCATTGAAACTCCTTTCAGTAAATGAAATCAGAAATCAAGGGAAATTCATAAAATAATAAAAGCTTTTGAACTAGATTTGCGTAGATGAAATATCAACTAATTTTAATAATAAATATGAATAAAACTATGTTTCCTGAAAGACTAAAGGTTGAAACAATATCTACATATAAAACACTAAAACCAAGGTATACACTTCTACACAATGACAAAATATTTGATTCATTCAAATAATTTTTTCAAAATAATCTAGTTGGAATTTGTAAAAAGTTTAATTCATCATCAAGCACTTTTTTTAATAAGTTACTTTTGGAAGTTTTCACATGGATTTTTGGTTTGTATATCAAACTCATTGATCCTTCGTTTTGAAGTTTCCGCTAAAATTCTTTGACAAAAAGAAACAAAATCAGGATTAAGAACTCAAGAAATACAAATTCAAATATAACAAATTATACAAAACCACAACAATTACTGCTCTTCTTCAGACAATCCTTGCAACACAACGAAAAATATATTTGTAAACAAAACAAAATTACAAATAAAATGAACGAAAAATGCAAGGTGAAAACAAAACGACAACATATAACAAAGGAATAGGACAAAATCTAAAATATGTGAGGTTAAAACACTAAATGTTTTTAAAAAAACATCACAGCGAAAGTTATGGTACTGTCTGCTAATTTTTACTCCATTTGTAAATTTCTACATTTTGTTTGAACTAATAGGAATTTTTCAGATGAATTTTTTACACAGTATAGAGATCTTGACTAGTAATCTAGTTATCTAGTTAAATATTCTAATTAAAACAATTTCATTTTTGTGGATCATTCACATATCCATGTCTAAATAGAATATTTGCACACTACAATGTCCAACTGTGATGGACTGACTTACTGAAAGTGGTTTAATTTTTTTTAGACATCACATCATTAATTGGTTACAATTCTAACTCAATTAGACTTGATATTAGTATTTATCTTCATATTCCTTTCCACACTGAACAATTATTTGACAACAGAGTCAGTCGTTTCAATCACAATATACAAAAGAAAAGCTTTAGTTGTGGTTCATATAATCCTGAGTGAACAATTCATTCTTTGGTTAAAAATCTACACCAATTCAATTCAATTGAGTTTCTTTGAACCAGCAAAGAGCGAAATAAATTTCATACGAAAATATCATGATATTGAATTGGTATTTCATTATTTGACAAAAGGATGATCATGAAATTATAATTTATGCAAATCATTGAGTTTTTATTTAAGATATGAGCAATATTTCTGGGCATTGAAAAATGATTCTCAGGTGAATGTTTTGCCCAAATTAAGTCCTGAAAAGCTTCTCTCTTTCCTTGCTACATATCCCAACTTTTATAATGTTAAAATATCATCAGGGTCTATCCCCTTTATGTGTGTCAAGAACACAACATTAATTTTGAGCTGTCAATAATAAGATATATCAATGGATATTTATGTTGCACAATACTGGACAATAAAAGGGATAAATATCATATAATATGCATAGTTGATTCCAATGCAACCCGATGTTTTAAATAAACATAATATCCTTTTTTCCCAAAAATAAAAACATAATATCATATTTTCCCAAAAAATAAAAACCAATGGAATACAATGAGGTGATGATAAAATTTCCCTTGATTTCTTCTCTGTATTCTAAAAACTACATAAAAACTGGTCCATTTGGAAATTGGTTATATAAATATTAAATATCACTTGAGAGTTAAGGGGTAGGCACATTATAATGTCTATCATCTTCAGCTAATAAATATATACTAGGCCAATCATTCTCTCTACTAGGAAAATCACATAGAAAATCTTCTGCTCCAAAATGAGAAAGTCTGGCAACTCTGATAATAGTACTTATTGTCTGTCCTAATAAACACATTTCAACCTGAAAATACAGAAAACAGTAGTTGGTATAAGCCAGATTGAACCTAAAATGTATGGAAAGTGATTTTGAGAATAGATTTTTTAACCTTTAAAACAAAGGAATTTTGTTGAAATAAAACCATAGGAGCGGTCTTTTAGGCATTAATGTTGTTTGGTGCTGTAAAGATAATTTAGATATTGCCCCCACTATACAAAAGCCAGATACTCTGGTTTGCATATGGTCATTCTCAAATTTAAGCTGTTAGATGCAACTTTTCTCAATGGAGCTTCTCTATAAGAATTACTGAACCAGGTATCACAGTATCAAAGGTAGAACTTTTAGGAAAGGTTTGTCAACTGGCACCCATCATCTACAAAATTGTTTTTCAACCGTCAAAGGAAAATTAAAAATTCAATTTCTCAGAGGCATCAAATGACAGAATACATTGGGATGGGCACTAACAGAATATCTATTAATCTAAGAATCTCACCTGTTCAAGACCAGAAGAATCACCAACAGGATTGAGATGATTCAAGACAAATTTACTGATAGAATCTGAAGTATCTCTAGCAAACATCAAGTTAGCAAATATTGGTAAATCTTTTCCTTTTTGGTTATCACGAAACAATTCAACAGCTTTTACTAACATTAGCAGTTTGACACCCTCCATTATTTCTATGTCTGTGTCAGGATGTGCATTTAACAAGTTCAAGGTCATTTCTTCTCTTTCTTTATATGTAGATAACTTACTAACTTCTTCAACCTGTAATATAAAGCATTTTATACAATTAAATAATTACAAAATAAGGAATTCATTGGTTCTCTTCAATACTAAGATTTGTTCCTCTATACTCCAGCCAGAAATAAAAAAACTAATTTCTTATAGGCGTCTCGATATGGTTTTCCTAGCAGTCCAAAGTTTTTAATTTTGATACATTTTCTATCCAGTTTTTAATGATGAGATTTCTTTTGGATGTCAATGTACATCACCATGTAGAAAAATGGGCTTGAAACTCCAAAAGTACTATCTAACTATCTCAAACTATGCCAATTTACTGAATTTTGCCTGATATCTTCTAAGTTATAAACATTGAAAATATATAGGCTACTGCCCATACTTACAACAGAACAAAGAGTTAAAACACATCGACACAATGTAGAAAGTTTATTTTCACCGGTACATTTCAATCTATTAGCAAACGTCCATTGTGACAGGCCTGATGAGGGATCTTCATATAGTTCATGTAAAGTGTCAATAATACACATCATGCCCGGTAATTTACTAGCGTCCATACTACCACATGTTAACATTTGATAAACACAACCTCGTATTGCACAGTAATTATCTCCCCTTATCGCTCGTATATTGTTACAGTTGGTAATGGATGGTAATTCTTTGTAAGCCTGAAATAAAAAAAAAAATCATTTTTAAAAAGTCTTCTGTAGTTAGCATTGTTAGAGGTAAGGTAAAGTTTAACATTCTAATCCTTCAGAAACACTTGGTTCCATTTAGATAATGAGCACCATGAGGGTTGTAAATGTTTTAGTTGTGTCTGATTTGATTAATACAGTAATATTGTTAATTTCGTTTGATAGTCCATGCATAAAAGGAACTGGATCTAATGTAACAGCAAACAGAGTCATTCTTCAGCAGAGAACCATAGAATTATACAGATCATTCTACAAAAAATTAACAAGGTTAATCTTGTCTAAAAACAAGATCATTTCTAAATTTTTTCCTTACTGGCCTGGCCTCTTGTTAGGTCAGAAATAATCTCTGACACCAACTGACACACATGCTTCAACTAGGATATTTTCACATTTGTGTGTAGACAAAGTGGGACAGGATAATAGAGACTAGGTCAGAATAGATTTCACTCAAAATTCAAATTGCTATCCATGATTGGATGATGATTGTCAAATATCATTTTTAGTATATTTACATTACAGTCACACCCCTCTTTACCCCATATCTCACTAACCTGTTTTATTACTACAGCTTTTTGTGTATCACCCTTCCATTCTGATTCTGAATACTGTATCAAGTCTACTGCATCACCAATATTCATCTTCTCTATAATAAATATACACATTGACTCATTTTTAACTGGGTAATTCCAAACGTTCCTGGGCAACTGCCAATAAATAGTTACATAACTATGTCAATGTCATAGGTTATTCCACATAATTATACAGACAAAGATACAGTAAGGACAAGTTTATCAAGAACTTAACTAATTTGAAATTTGGATTTTAACAAATACAATATTTTCATTGCCTGATAAACTAAATCTAAAATCAATTAAATAGACTAACCAATCCAGTGGCTGCAACACTGATATCTTAATGATCAGGTTTGATGAAACTAACCCCTGGATTGTTCATTTGTTAATAAAATTAACACTGACCAAGAATACATAAAGGCAAGACAATCTTATGAAAAATTAACCAGATAACAGCTCAATTTACAACATAGCAGGTTGTGACATCACAATTAAGATAAAGTTATTGATTGTTCTGTTTAATAAGCATGTCAATATAAATTTACTCCTTACAAGTGCTGAAGTAGGCAAAAATATGTTACTCAAGACATCTAGATAAGGCTTATCATGTTATCATATCAGAATTCAAACAATAGTTGCCAATTAAATTCTATGTTGACATATGTTTTAGGAGAACTCACTTGGAGCCAAAAAAAAGGGACATGGAAGTGTCACACAATTGACCAAATTTTAACAAATAACCTCTTGAGTGGGTCAGAATAATCAAAATGAACACTACTTCTGTAAACCTCATTACTAACTTAACTGAATACTTCTCTACTGACATAAATTAATGAACAAGTTCAAGATATATTTCTTTAATTATCAGACAGTTGGCAAGTCTTAATCCTGATAAAAACTTTGAGGAAACCTCATTACTATTTACTAAAAAAAATTAAGTCTCAGCTATTCATTACTATACTTCTATACTGATTTGTTTTAAAACTAACTTGGCTAGCCTTAATCCTAATAAAATCTTCTATTGAATTCAAACAATCAGGCTAATTGCCACTGTACTGACTTCGAATCTGACAAGAGTTTAACTCGCATCCCTGACGATTAGATAATTCTATCTAGGTACTGTGAAAACTCAACAATAGAACACTATTCATAGTCTGACCTACTAGTTATAACTGTTTAAAAATTACAAGACTTGGGACAGTCAATAAATCTTCAAGAAGATGAGGTAATTTATTTCTGTATCCTAAGCAACAAATGTATTATCTTTCATTATTTAGCTTGTTAACACATTCTAACAAAAAATTGAGATACACTGAAATAAGCAACTTACTTGATTTCTGTTTTGATTTTGGTGGAGATTCAGTTGTTTCTTCAATACTGTCCAAAAATACTTCTTGATTATCAGTAACATTGGATTGTCGACGTACTGGTGAAACAGGAAGTCGAGCTCTCCTGAATGGAGAGTTCTTTTCACTATGATCAGCACTACTATTTTCACTACTATCAACAGATTGATTAAGGGATGAATGCAGACGACGACTTCGATATTTAACAGAATCATCATCAACATCTAAATCCCAAGTTAAGTCTACACTACTAGCACGTGAACTATTTACAGATTCATTTGGAAGACTGCTTCTACGGTCTAAATGTTGTCTGAGTTTGTCGACAAGATAACAAGCATGCTCAGCTTCAGGACTCTTTGCTCTGAAAGTGATTGGTTGATCTGAAATTTCATCTTGACTGTTGCTCCTTTGGATCAATGCATTTATCTGAGACGTAATTTCCTCAAATTCATCTTGAATACCATGTAACTCGTCTTCTATGTGTGTCAGATTTTCAGTAGTTTTGCCACCCAAAGTTTCGTTTTCAAATAAAGCACTATCAGGAGCTGTCAATAAAGACATGTGTCTGTCCAATGATCTGCTGCGTCGTATTAACCCTTCAGAGAGTTCAGGAGTTGGAGAACGTGATTGAAAATCTAAGGAACGATTGGACCACTCTTTTAATCGTGTTAAAAGTGTCTGCCGAAAGTGTCTATCATTCTGTGCACATTCATTTTGAGGATGTGGACTCTTTTCTTCCCCATCCCAACTACAACTGTCACTAGCACACCCACTAAAACTACGCAGAGATTCCGATTGGTCTAGTGAAGGGTCGTAACCTGGTGAAAGGTTATTTTTATCAGGAAGGTTAAACCAGCTTGTATCATGTAGTTGTGGGCTCTCTAAATGATCTGTATGTATCACAGTTTGAGGTAGGGTTGAGTTTGAGTGTGATGGAGATTCTTCACTTATTGTTGACACATTAGATTTACTATCTATAGCACTAACTACATGATTATCATGAAGAGTTTTGTTAAAACGATTATTAGTTCGTGGGCTTTGAGTTCCTTTCCCTGATGGAAGACGGCCGTGTGAGCAGTTCTCACATAAAGATTCGTCGTAAGATTCTTGCATATTTTCAAATCCACTTTCAGCCGTTGAATAGAAGGAATCACGATTGAAACCAGCATCACTGTAGAAAGATTGTCCTAATTCTGATGGAACTCCTATCGCAGAGTCTTTGTCTGACTGAACAGATGGCTGTCGGTCGCGTCTCTTCGGACGCATACGGACCCCTTCTGGCATAGTCACTTTCTTTTTGCGATAATCAGTACCAAATGCTACCCCATATTCTGCACTGTAATGTACTGATGGTTCATTTTCCTCCGATGAGCTCCCATTGCCCATCTTAAATACTGTGGAATTATCTGATGATCCCTAAAAAGACACAATAAACTATTGATAATTCTCAATACACATTTAGTACACACAATATAAAACAGGAACTCTGAAGAATGTCAAGGGATATAAATTACTGATATTTTTCAGCTTTTGTATCACTTGCATATTGTAACAGCTATTATCCAATCATAATGTCATCTGTCAACTAAAAGTTAAAATTCAATTAATATTGATCTTAAAACCCAATTCAAGTCTACAATTCTAAAATTTATCATATTAATCAAATTCTGCGTAAAATATAGTATAGCAGACAGCAACAGTAAATATTTAACATGGCCAATAATTACCATAGTATATCTTTTGGTCAACATCAACATTGAGTCTCTAGTACTCTTCATAGTGGCTATATAATAATCCTTTAATTCACAGAGAAACAAGCTATTTCAGTAAGAATATTATCTTAACTGTCCTAAACACTACACTGGACAAAATATCAACAGAAAAACTGTCATGATGTAATATGACATCATATAAGTGAAAACCTTAAATATCACTTTCTTTTTTTAAACCATATATCAACCCATTTCCTCATCTAAACACGTTTCTCAACTTTTTCATGACATAATCCTACTTATGGTTTTTCTTTCTATTTCTTTACATAGTATTTTTAGATTGAATTGAAAGTACAAAAGTTATCAAACCCCTCCTTAATTCAATTGGCTATAATATTTATTATATCTATTGTACCTGAGTTAATAACATCCATTAGAATTCAATATATTAACAATGTCTACAGTTACCATTCAGATGATAAGGTAAGTGTATTTTTGCAAAAAGGCACCAACATGGTTTATGCCCACTTCTTACATGCATTTATAAATTTCCTGTGAGTCACAAGGAAGGACAATTTTTAGTTTCAGTCTGTTTAATGCTCAGTGTGAAATCTGAACTATGTTGAGACTTGAAGTATAAACTGTGAAGTGTCTGAATGAACTGTGTAAGAGGATGAAAGTCTAAACTTTGTAATGGTTCGTGATTCAACATAGTTGAAACTGAGCTCAATCAACTGTTATAATTAATAGACAACAGGGCATGCTTTACCAGTTTGATAGAGCTGTCACTTTTTTCAAAATCAATGTCTTGCTTTTCATTTACCACTTACTACCACAAACTGTTTTAACTTCCACTTTCTATTTCACAAATTGTAAGAAAACCTGATTTGATTTGAATTCCGATCTGAAAAGTGTTACATGGCAACTGAAATTGAGCTCTATTTGATAGAGCCAATATTTTCATGACTATATCACTTTAAAGTGAAAACTAAAGCGAATTATTTACATGTCATTAGTCTACGTCATCAGCAGGTCAAAACAAACAAAACTCAAAGTTACTGTGACTCTGACATCAAAATTAATCACAAACATTTCAGTATTCTATTCAGTAAATCATGTCCAGTTTGAAATATGTTATTAAAATATTGAAAGTATGGGATATTGTTTAATCTTGGTGTAAAAATAAAATTGTTTTCTTAATAAATATTATTCATGAAATATCCTGTAGTTTTATTCATTTTTCATATTTGTCTATAGAATAATTTAAAACGAAAACAAAACACAGCAACCATTTCAATTATTTTCATTGCATGCATTATGTATGAAGTATTTTTTGGTATTGTTTATGATATTATGATAAAATTAAGCAGAATACATAAAGAAAAAACTTGGAATGCTTCAAAAGTCCACGTCTTTCAAAAATGTTACAAATAAAATCTGTGTATCAATTCCTTGTTATTTGAAAGACAGAACATGTTCCCCTTAAAACAAAATCTTTAAATGGCATTTCATGGATTCCAAAGCTAAGACTTCAAACTAATATTCTTTCCAATACTTCTGCCAAAAGGGAGTATCAATACCTTTTGAACTCTACCCTTTCAAAAGAAATAAAGTTATGCACATCATGTACGGCTAAAATCGAACTGATATTAATGCTAGACTGAGTATTTTAGTTGCCATGACAACCAGATCAAATTAAAATTCAAATGATAATTTCTCTCTTTACAAGCTAGCAACATGATTAAAATAATTAGAAATCAAAGAATGAACTTTCTACTATATTAGATGAAAATAACCTGTTGCAAAGGATCCATTATTCAAAGGTACACAGTCCTCTAATTATTCACTACCATAGCTGATAAAACTAAACAAGGGATATGACCACATAAATTTCAGACCATGTCCCTACAGAAGTTTGACCAGTAATACTTGTTTTCTGCACTTTGATGAGTAGCAGATGGATACGAACTCAGAATGAAAATATAAACAAAGACTCGTGAGTATCTGTTTTTTCACTAAATTTGACACTTGA